CAGCAGTGTACTTTGTCGATCTGCCTGTTCTGCTCCCCACTCTGTCTCTGGTGAATCCTCTCACCACCCCTGCACCTATGGACTGTACCCCATTTCTGCATGCATAAGTAAATAAATCTTAAAAAAAGAAGAAGGGTTCCTGGAAGGGCACTACGGAAGGACACTATGGTCACTTGCGTGACCAGCCTACTACCTGTTCCTCCGAATGCTTAAGAAGAGAAAAAAAATTTTTAAAGAGACTCAGCAAATCCATCTAACTTCTTTTTGGCCCAGAATCATAGTCCCTAACTCCTTCTCTGTTCAGGATGACAATGAGAGCTGGGTCCAGCCAATCAGACATAGAGACAGTGCCCCCTGGGCTGCAGAAACTTCCCTCTTTCCCTATGAGAGGTTCATACTTGAGGGAAGAGAGCTTGCTGGTATCTCTCCTGTTATTTATTTTGGTCTGCACTGAAAACAGATATGACACCACCACTGTCTGGACACCACAAACAATGAGCATAAGCAAGAGACATCAACATCTAAGGATGGTGGGAGAGAAAGGTAAAAGTGTCTAAATCTCCAATGACAGCATCAAGATATTGAATTAGACCTGAAGCCACTTACCTCCAATTTTTTTGTGAAGGGAGTCACTAAGTATCTTTTTGGTTAACCACTATTAGTTGAGTTTTGTTGCTTGCCTAACTGATCCAAGCATCAAGAGAGATTCATAAAGAGGAGAGTACTTCCACTGTGCTTTAGAAGATGGAACAGCACTTCAATATGCACAAGAAGAGAAAGATCTTCTAGACAGAGGTAATGTTGCAATCATGAACAGGCACAAGAGATGTACTTGAGATTATCCCTTAAAGGGCAAGAGCCATCTTTCTACCACTCAGTGTGGAGCCTCTGTGATGAAGCACGTGTATGAATTCTGTGGCTTTGGAGACTATGTGGTTTAGCATCTTGTTTTTCAGTGTGGTCCTTGAACCAAAAGCATCAGAATCACCTGGAAACTTGTCAACAAAAACTTGGACTTATTCTGGACACACTGAATCAGAAATGTCAGGAGCAGGACCAGAGTTGCCTTAAAGCCAGTCTGGACAACCTATTCACAAGTCCTCCAGGAGATTCTGATGCCTACTCAAGTTCGAGAAGCCCTGGTTGCCCATATAAAGAAAAGCTCCAGTGCCCTGATTCTGTTCTGTTCTTCCCCCAGCAACCACGCAATCTTGTCCTAGCTTAGTAAAGAAGATTTGTTGAGCTCCTGCCTGCAAAATGTTGCAGTAAAGTTGTCTCACTCTTCGTACTCACAGCCCATTATGAAACCCTCCTCACTGAATCAAACCTGACTTTGTAAGTGGGAGCAGGAATGGGGACAGATGGGACCCTGCGACTCTCCTCACCTTACAAGAGGAAGACTTTTCGTGTGTGCTTACACTTAATAGTGGGCTTTGCGGAGTAGAGATTGTGTCTGATAACACTGAAAGAAAAAGTGAGACCATAAAGAGGCAAAAAGGGGTGTACAAACTCATTTTACTGAGTAAATGGGAGCAAATGAAGCAATGTGAGTTAGAGAATGAAAGCCAGGAAAAGCTCACTATGAATCTCATTTCCCATCTGTAAAGTAACAATGATTCAAGTTGTTGAATTAGATGTTAAGAGGACGAAGCCAGACATAAAGCCCATATATTCTATGATCCTTTTTGTATGAAATATCCAGGACAGGCAAATCCATAGAAACAGAAAGTAGATTAGTGACTGCCAGGGGCTGGAGAAGGGAGAGTAAGGAGTAACTGGTCATGGGGTGCTAAGAATATTGTGGAGCTAGGAATGAGGTTGACTGCACAACTCAGTGAATACACTAAAAATCACTGAATTAAACATTTAAAAAGGCACGATTTTAGCATGTGAATCAAATCTTAAGTTCAAGAAATGAAATGATTTGCATGATTGTGAATGCAGAGGTGAATAGCACCTTAGAGATCATACTTCTATTCCCTCGAGTCCTATTTTACAGAAAGGGAAAACAGTGCCTTGTTTGAAATTAATCAGAGGACAGCATCGTGTCCATGTTGCCAAGAAGGCAGCCCCCTGCACCACTGAGCTTGACAGGCTGACACTGCTCCTTTATCGGGCTCCCAAAGGGAGGCCCCTTTGCGACAGTGATCAGTGGCCTGAGTGCACTTACCTCCAACACAAAGGACACAATGAAATTGGAGCTGAGCATAATGACGATGTAGACCCTCCACAGGACAGGAGTGCAGAGCAGCTGACAAGAGATGAACGAGCAGTTAGTCTGAAGGCAAACTTAGGCTGGAAGAATGTTCAGATTGACCATGCACATTGTCATAAGTTATAAGCCACATGTATAAACTGCATGTAGCATAAGTTATAAGCCACATGTATAAACTGTATGTAGCACACACACACATGCACACTGTATGTAGACCCTGTGTATATATGTGTGTATATCTGTATTTTATACTTATATTTTACATAGGTATGAGCATTTTATACATGTCAGTATTTCTATTCAAGTACACACAAAACACACTACAGAAGGTTTACACCCAAGGTTTCTGAAGATTTAGGGGCTGTGATTACAGCCTTTCCTTTTATTTCTCTTTCTTTTTTTTTTCTTTGTAATTTCCTAAAATAAATTTGGTCATCAGAAAATAAAAAAAAATAATGCTGGCTTAAACAATATCTGTATAAAGTAATTTTATAGTAGCTTTGTTTTTCATAATAAACAAGTAGCAATAACTTAAATGTCTATCAATGGGGAATCACATGTAAATTATGGTGGATAGATACCATTGTGTGTGTGTGTGTGTGTGTGTGTGTGTGTGAAATCAATAGTATATTAACATTAAAAAATGAGGAGGTTTTTGTACTCATGTGGACAATTAGCAAAATATCATGTACATGAGAGAGGGTGGTCCAGGGACGTGTATGGCAGTCATGAAAATGTTCCTCTGAGATCTTTTGCCACAGGAGGGTAAGTGGCAGATTATGTCCCCTTCGTTATGCTAAGACCCTACCGCCACCTGAGGCCACACCTCCAGGGACTGCTCATCGAGAATGTCCCAAGAGAGCAGGGCTTCCAATCTTACTCTATCTTGGGAAAAGTAGAAGGGTAGGAAAAGCTGGGTGAGGAGTTGTTGAGAGACTCGCTGGAGAGACCTCCACGAGAACACATGCACATCTGTCAAGCCCTGAAGCAAGTGGGAGCTTCATTTGGCAACTCTGATGACTTTCTTAAAACCAGATTGCAGTCCCAAACTCTGCTCATCTAACACTCCCTCCTTTTCTCTCTCCCTCACAGGGGCCAGACCAACACCCAGTGTGTTGCCTCTTCTCAATTCCTCCGCTTCCTAATCTCCTGTATATCTCTCCTCTCATTGACATCTCCATGTCAGAAGAGCTGCAAAAATATAGTAATTTGGTACTATCTGTGTAAAAATGTAGAATAAGAGTATACATGCAATAAATACATATATATCTAAGTACACATGTATAAAATATGTCTGAAAGTGTATAAAATAACCTGGTATCATGGACTGCTGTAGAGAATGAAGCTGGTAGCTAGGGAACAAAGGGAGGGGATTTTTACTATGTAACTTTTCTCACTATTGAATTTTAAACTGTGTGAATGCATTCGCTATTTTAAGAGCAATTATGCAATTTTTTAAAATGAGCAATAACTAGGTTGCAAAACAGCATGAGTCCCATTTAAAATATAATAAATTTCATAAATCAGTCAATGTGCATTTTTAATATATGAGTTTTAAAAGAATGAAGGATGTAGTGGGTGATGTTATAATTTTTCTTGCTTTGCATATACACATTTTCTAAAATGAACCCATAATTTTATGTAATAATAAGAAAAGCAATTATTTTGAAGGTGAACAACAGAATCTTCTGGAGCCATGCAAGCAATGACTTTATACAATTTTCCTCTAAAACAAACATCTTCCTAATTTTATGATAACAGAGAACCCAGTCTCTGAGTCTTCCCTATTAAAATGTGTGGTTAACCCAGCATGCCTAACCTTAACACATGTAGCATGAAAACATTTTAACTCATTGTTTTAAAGATTGATTTATTTATGCATACAAGAACTGGAGTGTAGGTGAGAGATGTAGGGAGTGAGAAGCTTCACCAGACACAGAGTGGGGAGCAGACAGACAGATGTATTGAACTACACTACTGAAAGGGGCAGCAGGTGAGATAGAACAGTTCTGCTGCTCCATGTGGGTCACCTCCTTGGCTTGGGGTAAAACTCATGTTACAGTGGCTGGTAATAGCTTGATAGCACTGTGTCTTTAACCTCTGTGCCACCAGGGAGGACGATTTTTAATTCACTTAGAAAACCAGTGAAAATTCTATCTCCATGAGTACTTACCTAATTCATGAAGACACTTAAAAACATGATAACTACACTATTAACCACAATAATGGATGATAAAAATGAAGACTGAATGTTGACCTTCATTACTATGTCAATGTCTTTATGGGTTTGTGAAGAGGTTGCTGGTTTGTGGTGCTCTATGCTCTCCAAGTGCTTGTCTACATTTAGGAAATTGACAATGACCAATTGTTGCCATTGGTGTCCCTCACTATGCAAGCCACTGGTCATATAACAATGAATAAGATGGAATTTTGAAATGAGACAAGCACATAGTACACCAAGTAAAGATAGCTCATTTTTTTTACCATTTCACCTGTGTTCTGTGTATTGGTCTAGAGAGCAGTAATGATCAACCTCTGATTCAAAAAGAGATTAGGTTAAAGGAATCAATATATATATTTTTCCCTTGTTTGAATATGAGAAATTTCTGTTTTTTATAGACTTTCAAAGTTGTATCAAAATGAAAAAAATCTAAAAGGATTCATGAGGTAAGGTATGGGTCCTTGAAAATAAGTTTTGTGGGGTTAAGTATGAACCTATAGAAAAAATAAATTTTTAAGAGATTAAGATGTAAGTACAGATATTTGAGAATTAACCAAAAAAGTGCTACAGGCAAAATTGTTTTAAAGAGCTTCAAAATAGAATTTAGGGAGGTAATTCCCTCACATTTGGAAGAGAAAGTATATAAACATATTTTCCAACCTTACACAGATCTCTTAAAATAAAGCTATTTGGTGTTTTTGAAATACCTGAAATCAAAGCCAGAAAAAAATTAGTTTCCTGATCATCTTATAATTTCAAGATGCGAATAAATTCAGCATTCTTTTTAACTTTGCCATCTCAAAAGAATAATTGATGGGAAGAATCTATGTTAATTGCAATTATGACCTGATTTGTGAAGACATGATGTTCTACAATTGTAAGCCATCATCATATTCTCAAGATTAGACTTACATCCAATTGCCTATATAATTCTGGAATATCAGCAAAAAGAATGAACAGACACACCCCCAGCTGTATGACCAGCACAAGGACAAAGATATCTGAGGAAATAAGAGTAAAAGTTATCAATTTGAGAGATCAGATCATAGAATATGATATCTATTGATAGACATATTTTAGATTAACACTGGTTAAATTTCCTTGATTTCTACATCCAAACAGCATCATAGATAGAAAGAGCTAATTTCTATATAGCTCTATAAAAGTGGATCTCACCTTTACAATTCCAATGCATTTCCTTGAGACAAGTGACAATTTTTACATGAATATGATAAGTATCAATATAAGTGGGAATATGCATAGAGTAACACTGACAAAATATATTTTCAATACATTCCTTAAAGATATGCAAGTATCTGAATCTCTTTAATCATCTGCCTCTAATCATTCTCTGGATAAAAAGGACTGCAAATAAACAAATGTTGAAATTGCAATCATGTGAAGGTCAGCGTTCAAGTGCTTCCTCATTCTACAAAGGACAAGGGCAAAATAATTTTCTCTGAATAAACAAATTATTATAAGAGGGTCTTCAACTTGTGCTTCCAAATTTTCCCAATTAGAGCAGAAGTAAAAGAAAACAATATCCCCAATGCAAGCCATGTCACCCATTACTCCTAGTACACACCTCAACCCCAGAATGTAAGGAAGGGAAGGTGCTTTTTCCAGGAGCCTCCATAATAATCTACAGTCAATTCTTCGAGGTGTCACCCTGCCCCTTGTCTTCAGGACAAGACACTCATTCCAACTGAATGTTAGACCCTTCTCCCACTCCCTCTAGGATGAATGCTAATAAGCAGACGAATAAATAAATCTTCCCAACTTGAAATGAGTTCAAGGAAGAGGTGGAGAAGGAAGCCCTTGAAGGAAAAGACCCCAGGTGAGGTTCCTGATGTGCTGAGCAGTCCTGGAGGGAGGCCCCAGATAAGTTGACCCAGGCACACCTGAGGATCTCTCATCTCACCTCAGGTCCAGTATAACGCTACTCACAGTTTGTGTAGGTGGGCTGCCTGAAAGGTTTTCCTTTAGAGAAGATAAGGGCCACAATGATACAGTTGATTGTGCCCAAGAACCATACAGTGGTGCTCTCAAAACTTGTGAAGTCACTGTCACTTCCATTTTTTCCTGAAGCAGCTGGAGAAATGGTTAACTCTGAGATGGTTTCATTTTTCTCTGTGCAGGCACTAAAAAGGAAACAAACAAAAAATAGCAAGGAAGTGAGATGGTGGGCACTTATGAAGCAATTGTGACTACTAGAGTTCATGCCCTCCATGCTTCAATAATTGCCTACACATAGGGAAAGAATATACTGAAAAACTAAGAGAAATAAAACAACATAGATAGATGTATAGTTTTGATAAACGAGTAAGAGAGAGAAAGAGAAAGTTATTCATTCAATAAATTATACCCATTATGTGTATTACGACTCTGGGAGAAAAAGAGGTGTATACGCCATAAATTTTTCCTCCGGTGGCTTAAAATCTTGAACATTTATAAGTAGGGTGCCATATAATTGATCCTGTCACTGGGAACACATCTGAATGTGAAAGAAAATGATTTTGATGGTGTCATTGGGATATGGGTTTAAACTTGCTTTGCCCAGGTTAACTGTAATGCATGGTCACCATAGATGCAAAAGTTGATCATTGATCATTATCCTACAAAACAATGATAAGTACCAACGAACCACACTGTCAAACTATACTACGGAGAAAAGACCATCAGTAGAAATTTGTGCAATTGACTTTAAAAAGTCAAAGCATTTGGCATAATGAAGACCTATTTGCCTCTCATTGTGTAGCCCAGATGTTTGTGGAAAATCAGAGTGAGAAGCAAGATCCCAGGCTATGGTCATACCTGTGCATGTCCGTGGAATACCAAGGCTGCCTCTGAACCAGAATGAAGCCCACAATTTGCATGGCCAAACTGAGAAGAATGTTGAGAATCACAGAGAGCAGCAGAGGTGGGGAGATCAGCCGTCCCGCAGGCCTGAAAGGCACCAGCTTGGGGTAGGCACCATTCAAATTCACTGTAAAAAAATTCAGGTCTTATGTTTATGAGAGCAGAAAACTGCAGCATTCATCATTAGAATGGTGTGACTTCTTGGGTCCACACATCTGAGGAAATTAACACATTGAAGTACAGTAAATGCTGAAGGAACAAAATAAGGAATGGATTGAACCTCAAGTCAGATGAGTTCTTAAGTGCGCAGACATAAAAATATCACTAGGTGCTTTTTTTTTTTTTTTGACTATTGCAAAGGCAAAGCCTATTAAATTATAAGAGGGAAAACAAAGAAATGAGCACTCTTGTGTTTTGCTATGGGAACGTAAATTGACACAAACCTTCTGCAGGGCAATTTGGCAAAAGATATGAAGAGATTGAAAAATGTTCATAACATTTGACATTCTGCTTCTGAAAATTTACCCTAAGGCTAAAACATTAGATATGTAGAAAGATGTTCATCACAGCATCTTTTACAATAAATTATGGTACATCTATAGAATAGAACTACAGGAGTCATTAAGAAGTAATGCCTTCAAATATTTCATGACAAAATGGGAGCAACATCAGCAAAATGATAGCATAGGCTGCGCCAAGATTCTGTCTCTCCAGAGAAACATTATAAACAAGGAAAAACTGTCAAAATTTTGAAAAACAGACAAAGGTTTGTAATACTCAAACTAATGCTGAATCAAGAAAAAAATGACTTCAAAATGATCGGAAAATTCTGTGGCATTGCTGTTTGCCCTTGCCAAAGCCCCTCCTGAGCTCGATGTTCCCTAGCTATGGAAGGGGTGAGAAGATTCTACCTACAAAGATTTCTTTCTTGTTTGGGGGTTACTTGAGGGATGGGTACAAAGTGCTTATTTGTCCTTTCACCTAGTGCCAGCCTCACTCAGGGTATAAACCACACACAGTGCCTGAAAAACACTGTAAGTGAATAAACAGGGGCAATGTTTACAGCTGGGACATAAAATAACTATTTAATACATGTGAAGCAATTCAAAGAAACCTTTTCCCTGACACATTATGGCATTCCAAAGCACATGTGTAGATTGGGGGAACATGTAACACCACGGAGACGCCCGGGTCAACACGCATACCCAGCAGAGGGCATCGGTTTGGATCAGCATAAACCTGGCCTGAGTACTGAGGCGCCTCTGTACCAACCCTCTGCAAATGCTGGGACAGGTGTTTCATTGGTGGTGGTGATGTCTTTAAATCATGAGGCTCAAGGTAAGCTCTGTCAAAACACCAGCTGAACATAAGCTAAATGGACAGAGATGTCAAAGACCACAAAGAACAACTGAAATAACTTAGAAAGCATGAATGAATTACTGTAGACTTCTTAAAATATGGGAGAAAGGCCCTCCCTGGTGTTGCAGCAAGTTAAAGCACAGCACTAAGAAGCTAAAGCCATTTCAGCATGAGTTGGATTCCGCCCTTGACGTGATCCACATGGTGCGACAGACCTCTCCTGACCCACCCACTGCCTCGTCAGTTTGCCTGTTCTGCGCCCCACTCTTTTTCTGGTGAATCCTCTCACTGTCACTGCCCCTGCACCTCTGGCCTGTACTCCAGTTTTTTGTGCATAAATAAATAAATGTTTAAAAATATATATGGGGGAAATGTCAAACTCTGGGAAGGGGGAGAATCTGATTTTCAGATTTCTTACATTTTAATATTCAAGTAACCAAAATAATTTGACAGAAATCACCCCTGAGAAAGGCCAGGCATTGTATTTCCTGGGAAAAGACACTAAAAGAATTCTCTTAAATGTGGTCAATGAACTAAAGGAAACCATGGATAAATAATGAAGCAAAACAACATGAACAAAATAAGACTGTCAATAACAAGACAGAAATTATAGAAAAGGACCAAAAAAAATTCTTTGGAAAATTTCTTTTTATTGGCACGCCTATTTAAAATTTCTATATTAAAGGCAAGACTATGAAAAGACAACAAATAAAATGTGAAGAAATGTTTGCAATCACATATCTGATAAAATTGTAATATCCACAAAATGAAATATTTCAGAACTCAAGAGCCAAAAGACAAAAATCCAGTTAAGAAATGGGGAAAAGACTTTAATAAATGTTTCTTCAAAGAAGACATATGAATGACCAATAACACATAAAAGTATATTCAACACTATTGGTCATAGAAAAATGAAAATCAAAACCCTAACAAGATATCTCTTCACACCTATCAAGATGTCTAGAAAAAAAAAAATTAAGTTAAATGACAAGTGTTGATGAGGTATGGGAAAACTGAAAACTTAATGCATTACTAGTGAGAAGGTAAAACTATAGAAAATAGTTTGGTAGCTTCTCAGAAAGTTATAGATGGGCCTTCATGGCAGCCTAGGGGTAAAGTCTCAGTGCTATCACCAAGATGGCCAAGCTCCATCCCCAGCCAAGAAGGTGACCCATATGGCACAGCAGACCTCTCCTGACTCGTCCATTGCTCCCCTCAGCAGTATAGTTCAGTAAATATAGCTGTTCTGCTCCCCACACTGTCTCTGGTGAATCCTCTCAACCCCTGAACCTCTGACCTACACCCCGATCTTCCACACAAAAATAAACAAAATCTTAAAAAAAAAAAAGTTATAGATCTGGTTGCCATATGAACAAGCAATTCTGCTTCTATACTCAAAAGAATTGAAAACTGGGACTCAAACAGAGATTTTTTTTTTAAAGATTTATTTATTTATTCATACGAACTGGGGTACAGGTCAGAGATGTGGAGGGTGAGAGAATTCACCAGGGACAGAGTGGGGAGTAGAACAGGCAGATGGACGAAGTACACTGTTGAGGGGAGCAGTGGGCGGGTCAGGAGAGGTCTGCCACGCCATGTGGATCACCTCCGGGGCAAGTGGGAATCGAACTCATGCGGAAGCGGCCTAAGCTTTTTAGTGCAGTGCTTTAACCCGCTGCGCCACCAGGGAGGGCCTCAAACAGAGATTTTTATGCAAATGCTCACTGTCCCATTATTCACAGTAGTCAAACAATGGGAGCAACTGAAGCCCATCAATTGATAAATGGATAAAAAATGTGGTATTTACATATGAAGAACTATTGTACAGTCATAAAAAGCTCTGATACATGCTACAACATATAAGAACCTTGAAAACAAACACACTGCTATCCAAATAAATCAGATGAAGTCACAAATATTGCATGTCTTATATGAAATATCTTTAAAAGGCATGTTTATAGAGAGGTTGAGAGAGAGGGCAATGGGAGTTATTGCTTAAAGAGGATAGAGTTTGTATCTGGGGTGATGAAAAAGTTTTGAAAATAGATAATAGTGTTGATTGCACACTATTGTGAATGTGGTTAACACCCCTGAATTGTACACTTAAAAATGGTGAAAATGACAATAAGAAGAATTAAAATACTTACTGACATTAGAAAGTAGATACAGCTAAATTAAAAAAAAAAAAGAGGGACAACATAGATAAAAAACACAAAATATAATTAGAAAGTTCATTTTTAGAAAGGATGAACAATTACATAAAGAATACAATTCAAATTTCTTCAGTTTAAATCAAAATGTTGTAATTAGTTAGCTCTAGATAGTAGAATAAATATGGACTTTTTTTCTTGCAGTGTTTTCCATCTTCTTTCTACAAGGAAAGTATGTTAATCACAATAAAAGCAGAAAAGAATTATATTATGTGTCATCAAGTAGAGAAACATCTGAAACTGTTTGTTATGGAGAAGAGATCAATCAGTAGAATTGAGAGCTGTTTCTGAATATCTGAAGGACTGGTATGGGTAGAATCAAGATTGTTTTGTCACCCCAAGTGCAGAACTGGGGTGGGTGAAAGTACTGAAGAGATTGATCTGGCTTGATGTGAAGGAGAACAGAGTAAGGACTGCCCAAGGGTATTCTTTTAATAGATTTAACAGATATTAATGAGCTGCTTTGATATGACAGGCACCATTACAAGTCCTGGAAATAGAACAGTGATCAGAGAGAGGTGCAGTTCTGATGAAGGGTGCACTCTGAGTGAGGAGAGGTGAGCAAAAGCAAATAACAACATGATAAACATCATAATTTCAGGTTGCCAAAAGTATAGTTCGAAAAAAAGGAAACAGAATTGTGTGATGAAGAATAACTAGTTCTGGCTTTACTTACAGTGAGCTTTCAGTTTGAGCTAATAATAAGAAAAAGTCAAAGACATTGGAAGATCTAAGGTGAGAATATTCCAGGCAAAGAAAAATGAAAAAGCAAAAGTACTGAGGAGATCATAAGCTTAGCATTGCTCAAGAGGCAGAAAAGACTGGAACAAGTAAATGAGTAGCAATGTGGTTAGAAGTGAAGCTGGAGCAGTCAGAAGCCAAATAACCTAAGACTGATTAGTAATGGGAAGTCATTGGAGCACTTTAAGCAAGAGATTGACAATAAAATTTACATTGAACGAAAACACCTTTATGACTTGTGTGAAATGCAAACAGGGGTGGGGAAGATGACAGGAGTGGATGTAAGATCAGTTGGATCACAGGTAATCTCCTTGTAGTAATCCACAGAAAAAGAGAAACTGCTGGGAGCGGCTGATCAGTGAAGGGAAGCAGGGGATTCTGGGAGGCAGAGTCAATTGGATACCTGTATGCATTAGATTTGAAGGATGAAGGAAAGATGACTCCAGTTCTTTGTCTTGAACAAATAAGTAAACAGGGTGTTATTTTCATAGAACATGAGCTACAAGAAGACAGGAAATTTGTTTTGTATTTTTTTCATTGATGTATTCTATATACCAATACAAACTAGGTACTTAATATTTGATGATTTTATTGAATGTCAAATCTGGTAGATTAAAGAGTTCTGTTTGGGCATTTTTTAAAAAAGATTTATTTATTTATACATATAAGAGCTGGGGTATAGACCAGAGGTATAGGGGTTGAGAGGATTCATCAGAGACAGAGTGGGGAGCAGAACAGGTGGATTGACTGAAATACACTGCTGAGGGGGCAGCAGGCAAGACTTGAGTGATCTGCTGTGCAACAAAGGTTAGTTCTTTGGCTGGGATCAAACTCATTCCAAGTGGCTGCGTATAGATTCATAGTGCTGAGACTTAAGCCCTTGCACCACCAGCAAGGTCCCTGTTTGGGCATGTTAAGTCTGATTATGCAAGTTTAGATGTTGAAAGCTGCGTTTGCAGAATTCAAAATAGGCATCAAGACTACAGCTATAAATTTGGAATTTATCAGCAGATAGATGACATTATATTCACAAGATTGGTTGAAATAACTTAAAAGGGCATAGATTGAAAAGACAAAGCAGACCCAGAGACCAGTCTGGAACATTCTAAAATTCAAAGGAAGGCACAGGGTAAGGAGCAAGCAGCAGCAGAATTGGGGGGGGGGGGCTGTCATTACAGTGACAGATACTACAGGATGCGTGCTGTCTCACAAGCCAAGAGAAGAAACTTTTTGCTGAAGGAGAATGTTGCTGAGAAATCCAGTATAATCAAGGCAGAGAAGTGGTCATTTGTTGGCAGCAAGGAAGCCAGGCTAGACTTGACCAGAGCAGTGTCAGAGCCATGGTGGCTGCAATATAGATAGTAGTCACTTTCCTTGAGCACCTTCTCCAAAAGGAAAGCTTTGAACGTATTGACACAATGAGTTGTTAAGAAAGTATTTATGATCTTGATAAGGAGAAATAAGAGGCAATCATATGCAAGCCAGGCCATGAGGCATGTAGAAGAGGCAATTCGAATAAACCTAGCACTTATGTTTAATGTGTCACTGATGTGTGCCTTGGAAGCAGTGATAGTTGGAATTGGTTCACACTAGCTCATAGGTGCCAATTATTATGAGATTTGCAAGCCAGTTATTAAACATAGGCATTATCAAAAGCAAGTTACATAAAGTTCCAACTAAATAAATATATTAAAAACCAATTTAATGAATACTTAAAATTGACAACTGGCCCTCCCTGGTGGTGCAGCGGGTTAAAGCGCAGCACTGAGAAGCTAAAGTCACTTAAGCATAAGTTCAATCCCCACCCTGGAGGTGACCCACATGGCACAGCAGACCTCTCCTGACCTGCCTGCTGCTCCCCTCAGCAGTATACTTCATCAGTGGTCCTGTTCTGCTCCCCACTCTGTCTCTGGTGAATCTGCTCACTGCCCCTGCATCTCTGGTCTGTGCCCCAGCTCTGTATGTATAAATAAGTAAATCTTTTTTAAAAAAATTGACAACTTCTTAATTTTCTCACTATATTTTTACCTTATCTCCATTCTGGAAATTAAAATGGAAATTAAGTATAAAATTGTATCACACCTGTAGCCATAACATCATGAGCAATATTTTTAAACTGCAAAATATTCTTTTAACATTCAAGAACTATTAGGCAACTCATTAAATAAGTTACTTACATCACTAATGAATGACTAGAGTTTCAGCAAAGCCTTTGTTGCTTTGCTCATTTGGGTAAAGAAAAATATCAACCAATATTCCTGTTTGAATTAATTCAGTCATCAATTACAGAGTAGGTTGACTAGGAATATAAAAATTTGCAAGTTTACTGCTGTCTCCCACCAAGCAACAGCACAGGCCAGGCACCCAAATCCATGCCCTTCGATATGAGAACTGGTTGAAATGAAAGAGCAATGTTATTGAAGATGGCAAATAAAGAACATATGGTTATTTCGGCACTTTGAGAAAACAGGTAAATAGCTATTGGTGAATTTGGAGTCAAGGAAAAGCTTTGAAGAAAGGAGGAGATGTGAAAATATATTTATGTGCTGATGGGAATGAACCCATAAGTAAGACAAGAGTTAATGATATTGAAGAATGGTTATGGCACCAACAAGTCACAAAGAAGGTAGAAGGAGATAGGATTAAAGTACTAATGGAGCTGCTAGCATTTACATATAACAAAGAAAAATCAGACTGCATGGTAAAGATGATAGTTAATGGGTGGGTTAGGAAACAATCCTATAGAAGGGAAATTGGGGCAATAATTCATATTTTTAGCAAGGAGGAAGGGGTGGGAGAGACACGATGGTGAAATTACCCTTCATCTCTCTTGTAAACCCTGAGAGGCTAGGAAAGGAGATGGAAAACAAAAGGCATTTAGCTTTCATAAACTGGGCATCTTTCACCTATAATGGTACCTAAAAACACAATGAAATCATTATTCTGATTTCAAGGTTATTGTTGTTTTTCATTTTCATTGTCTAGTGACCATTATGGAAGTTTCTATGTTTTGCTGAAAACAAGGCAATTCTTCAGCTCTTCCCTTGCTAACAATTTCTTTCAGCACTAAGAATGGGGAACCTATGCACCCTTTCCTCTCTCTGTACACCTCTGAGAATGTGACAGACACACTGTGTGTCCCTCCTGGGTGCCAACCCTCCTGGGAAGGAAATGGAGAGCAGCCTTCTGGGGAGAAAGTTTTAAAGTGTCTTACTTGTCACACCAATTAGAGTTGTGATGGCCAGATCCTGGAACAGAAACTGGTAATTTGAAAGGCTGTTTGTCTCCTAAAAACAAAAACAAAAGGAAAGCAACTCAAAAAGATTATGACCTTGGCAATGAAGTTTCATATCAACTGCATTAATGTTTTTCACTGCAATATAGGATTTTTTTCAAATAATTGTGAAGGAAACTGTGTTCTCAAGTGCCTGCTTGATTGGTGGAAGGACTTGGAGACAAGGCCTGAAGTCCCATCTCACCAGGAGGGTTTCTCCTTGGTGTATCAGCATCACACCTTGTTGGGGGAGTGTCTCATGCTGTAACTCCACTGCTGCTCTCTTTTCTGCTGTGAACAGAAAAGTCAGCTCTGGCACCACAAACCAGTGTAATCCCAAGAACAAGCAGTGGTAAATGCGTGGGACTGTGCTGTTGGAAGCAGACAATAACTGAACCTACTATGTATGTGTGTTCTTTTGAGTTACCAAAATGTCCTAATAAAACACTTTAATAAGGGAAAACATGTTCAGGTTTTACTGATTTCAGTAACTTGCTTGCTTCCCTCCCCCCATCCACCTCCTGATGGAAAGAAGATATTGATGACTCAATTTTGAGCATGAGTTACTTAATTTCCCAATAGGGTCAAAATTATTATATAATGTTTCCTTCTCCTGACCATTTATTGGTGAGTGGAAAATGACTTAGGTTATCTGAAAATAACCAAACTAAAATCTTCCACCCAGGAGAGAAAGGGCAAGGCTGAGTAGAATCTAGTTACTTTCCACACAAATGGAATTGCCATTTTTCACTGTTAGCTAAAAGAAGGCCAAATGTTCAGTTCACTAACAATAACCTGTCTTTTCTCATTTTACATTTCATTGACTAGTAAAAGCCGTCACAAGTCCTGTATTTTTGGAGGATGGGGTTATGATATACAATTTTTTTTTTTAATTTCTGTGTTCAGAGAAGCACTAAAAAGCTGGCTTGTACTCACTTGGAAGAGCCAGTTGCTAAATCATCAGGAATTTTGTGAGATGGCCATTAAACAGAGCCAACATAAAAAACAAAATTATGTAGATTTACCATTAAATAAATTATAGCAAAAACAAAGGTAGTCAAATGACAAAAATCCAGCACTTCCTGATTTTTTTGCTACAATTTATAGTTATCTGTGTTGTGGTTATTTACAGTCCTTGTATTATATGGTGCAAGTAATATATAACAGTTTGCAACTGTACATCTCTTCTGAGCTCCACATTCAGTGACAGCAGGTAGATAGCTTGAAACCACTCATGGGGGGGTGCCTTTACATCACTGAAATTGGCAAACATTAATAATCAGAGCTTGTTTTTCATGGGAGAGTCAGTTATGAAATATTTACTACCACCCCAATCAGAGGATCATGCTTAATAGATGATCTACTAGGCTACAGTCATACAGGGATTCAGAAGAAAGAGATCTGGCCCAAACAGGTGTAACAATAGTGTGAAAGGAAGGAATATGCTCTGTTCCGATTCTCAGCTACCACTCAATACAGAGAACTGACACCATTCATTTTTCCGGGGAATATTTGTCTGTTTCTTATTTACTTTCCAAAGCACTTTAACGATAGATTTAGAAGGACCACTGCTCCAATATCCTATTTTAACTCTTTGCTTCAGAGGCATTACGAATCAGGTGCACTGTCACTTGGTTTAGAATTGACTAACCAAGAAGCTAGGTCCCAAATCATACCCAGTAGAGCAGCAGCACACCAATATACTGAATCATGCTGTACAGAGCCATGTACTTAAACATGCAAAATGAGGTAACAAGAGCTGCACGTCCTTCCCTGTGTGAAAAAAGAAATGAAAAAGTAATGAGATGAAAGTAATGGAAAGAAATGAGGTCAGTTCTATGTGGTTCAGCTGAGATCAGAAGAAAAAATCAAAAGCCTGATTATTCGACTGATGGTCTGACAGTCTGGACCACTTTAAGTCAGGGAGAGCTGGCTGTCAGCATGCTAAATGACCAGATGCTCAGGAAAGATCAATCCTAGGCCAAGGTGCACAGGCCTTGATCCAGGTCTGGTCCCTGATCTGAAGTTACTCCTGTTCTTTCTGTGGGCGTCATGTCAGCGGCTGGGCTCAGTGTCAGGAGACGTGCCAGCTCTCACACCTACACACTCATGTGATTTGAAAGGCCATCTCCCTTCTCCCAGTCACTGTTTCTTCATTTGTGAACTAAGGAACTTAAATAAGATGGCAGGTTTGGGAGATATTTTCATGTACATGCTTCAGAAGTCTGGCAGACTACCATTCAAATTTCATTTGGCACTGCTAACTTTTTCTAAAACTGGACTAAAATAATATGGACACTCAAATTAGTCATAGCTTAAATTTAAATAGTCTGGAAACAATGAACATGTTCATTTGTGGTACTGCTGAATGACTCTAAGTAAATAGTAGATATTTAAAGTATGATTATGAAAATTCACTTCTATCAGTTTCATTTGGAAAAAAATGACAAGAGTTTAAATTTAATCATCCTAATGGCTACTTAGATTCTAGAACCAAATTCTCAAACTAGGCTTTTTCTTGTATCCAGACACATATATTTGTTTATTTTTACATCATTTTGTGCATTTTTCCATCTCAGTTGCAATCCCCTTAGGCTTGCCATCACCAAATCACCCATGTGCCATCACCATAGTCCAGTGCCTTTCTCTCCCCCCACTGTCTTGTATCCAGACTTTGCTGCTACCATTTGCTCTTCCTAGAAAGGAGTTTCTTCTCCTTTCTCACCTCCTAAGAAAGACTTTTCCACTTCACGCCATATAAAGCACCCAAATCCATCCACCTCCCCAGCTATCTTTCTACCTTTTGCCATACCGCTGATTATCTGTGTTTACTGTCTGACTTTTTTACCCAAAGAAAATTTCATGAGATCAAGTGACATTTGATATACTTGCTCCTGGATCCCCCAGGCCTCAAACAATTCCTGGCACTAAGGATCTACTCAATAAATATTTGTCCAATATAAGAATAAATTTGTAAAAATCAGGAGTAACTAGACAAATAATTTAATGTGGTAGAAAACATATAATACTCACAGATAAAACTAAATCAATTCTAATGCAATCTCCAATCCTATGTGGTGGTATGAGCTTGGGAACATCAATTAAGTTCTCTTTGTAAGAGCAATAGTGGCCATTCCTACAACCAGGTTGTCTTGAAGTGTAAGATAATCAGCAACAAAGCACTTTGTAAAACTGTAAACACATGCTTGATACAATAACCGAAGTAGCCACCAAACTAAATATTTCTATTGTTCCATTAAATGTAGCAAAAGTAAATAGGGGGAGAAGGAACATTAAAAAAACAAAGAAATTTTAGTAGGAACAGCAAAAATGAATATTTTTTGGAGATAGGAAAGGTACTCCAAGGAAGCACAGTGAGACGATAGGGGAAAGATAGTGATTACTCAGTATATAGTGTCTAAGGAGATACATTTAAAGTAATGGTAAGTAGTAATAATAATAATAATAGTTAAATGATCATCGACATTTTCAAAGAAGTAATAAGTTCCAGATTCCAATTTTCTAAAAATAATCCATTCGTGGATTTTCACCAGAAATATCCCTACTGCCCAAGTGTTATTTAACTCCAGGTAAGTCCACTTGAGAGAAGGATGTTTGCCTTTTGCCACCAATGAACCTCCCTGCCCAAGGACAGAAAGTTTCTTTTGCCTTTCCCAGGCAGAACAGTAGTTTCTGCACCTGAAACCTTATAGAGAGTAAAACAATGTTGGAAAAGAACATCTACTTACTTGATAAGATGAGGTACACACTCAATGTTTGGCGTTTTAGAAGTAAAAGGTGAGGCCACAGATGCCTCCTGTTCTGATAAAGAGATGCCCACATGAGCCATTTTCAAAGCCTGAAAGCAAACAGTCAGCTTACTGTCCATACATACTCATCTCTACTCAGCCCCAAAGGAAATGCTATTAAACCGGCCCCAAGTTGGCTGGGGACAAGCCACCAGATGACATCTGGCCAACAGATGACACTTAGCTAAAGAAATGGGACTCCAGGATCAAATTCTCTCCTGTTTAATCTGTACTTACCACAGAGTCATTATGTGGCTTTGATCAAAACCCTCCCAAATCCTCAATATCAGTCTCTCATATCAAGAAGGATGAGGGTTCATATCCCCAGAGGTATTCTCTATTGTTCAAGGTGCTAGGTAAGTGTGACTGGATTTGAGACTATGGTCCCCACCCCTACTTACCCCACAGTCATTGGCTCCATCACCACACATACCTACAAAGTAACTGAGAGGGAACTGTGTCAACTGTAAAGAATAGCAAAGCAATTGTACCTGCTAATTTCTCTAATTAATAAGATAAAATAAGCTTTACTACTTAGGGTTTGAGCTTATTATTTTAAGAGAATTTCTCACGAATCTGGTCTGGCTGAAAGTAAAAATGTGACTTGGCAGCTTATACAATGATTTCAGGACCCAGCATACCACTCTGGTTCCCAGCCTTGGATAGGAAGCTTGCTGGCAGCTGTCAAAAGGGGGTTGCTTAAGATCTGTCTTATGATGAGACCATGTAGCTCGGTGGTGAGGGCCCCAGATTTGAAATCAACATACCTAAATCTTTAATCTGATCATTTCATTAGTTTGACTATCATTTCTCTTCTTTACAAAGTGAGATAAATATGTAGCAGAGTGCTGAATGGGAAAAGGCCAATACACTTTAAAATGATTAACAGGTTGTTGGTGCTACTAGGAGCATCAGGATAGAAGTCTACTTTGCCAGTGGTCATTCAACTAAAAAAATAATTAAAAGTCATGCCCACACATTGTCAAAAGAAAACACATCCCTACTTCAAGATCACCTTCTGAGGCCAATGTCTGCTCCTTTCTTTAATTGCTACTGAGATTGTGGCACATCTGCTCTTAGACAGGAGCCCCCTGGCAGCATTTGCAGGACTCTGCCACGCCGCTACATGAAGGAGCAAGCTCACTGGCCAAGTGATCAGATGCTGAGAAGACAGAGCTTTCTGACTTTGAGAAGCTCACCTAAGAGCTGAAGCAAGGGAGAAGAGAGCTGGGTAAGAGCAAGTGGCAGTGGAGGCGGTACGGATGGGGCCCAGTGCCAAGAGGAAAGAAAGCCTCCAGGATTTGGGGGAGAGGGGTCCCATTAACAGGAAATTAAGTGTCCCCATGGAGGGTGCCACCTGTATTCCATTCTGTCAACAGAAATCCTTTTTGTTAAAAGAGAAGTATTTTTTCTGAGTTAGGATGGAGAGGATACTTTAGAAAAAAAGAATGTTTTATATATTTTTTTTAAGTCTAGATTTTTACTGTACCTGCAGGAGCTATGTGCAAACTTCCTGTCTAGGTATATTTTTTATCACACCCTTTCATGGCCCTTAAGATTCTAGTGGGTCTCAACTCTAGGACTTGACTTATAGAAGGGCCTTTGTAAAATTCTACTCTCCAAAGTCCCATGTAAGCCATTGAAACAATCACTGAATGAGGTGTCCCAATATTGCTGTTTTTCAAAGCACCTGAAGTAACTTTCTTGTTGCTGCCAGGTTGGCAACCTCTGCCAAAGTCAACTCGAGTGACTCTTTGTGCCTCTGACTTGCCCCTGACTACCACATCTCAATGCCTTTGACACCACCTGAACTGAGAAGGAACCTACTCCAGTTTTTGAAATTCTTCCACCAGACTAGATTTCTGCCCAGGGGACATTCTTGCAAAGATGGTCCCATTTATCAGTATCTGCAAGAAAAGCAAAAGGGAAATGTTATATCATGTCAACTGGTCCTACATGTGATGCCACAACACTGACTGAGCACTGATATACACATATGAGGGGAAAAAAAATGTTTCCAATCTTCTAAGTGGCCAAAGAAGATCAATATCAGTAAACATGAGTACTTAATAAAACGTATTTGTTGACCATTAAGACTAAAAGAATTTAGCGTAGCTGCCATGGAGAATGTGATGCTAAAAAATCCTGCACTTAATAAAACCCTAAACCAGTAGAGTATGAGAAACTACAAGACAACAAGAAGTCAGCATTCCAGGAGAAGGAAAGGAGGCAATTTCTTCTTAGAAATTTGTTTAGGACAAGCAGGGGGGAAAAATCTGCATGAAATAGTGACTGATTGAAGTCCTTGAGTTCACCATACCATCTAAGTTTGGCCAACTGTGAAACTCAGCTGTTATTCCAAACCTCACTGGACAAGGTAATGTGGATGGTTTGGGGTATGAATCCTGTACCAGCATCCTCCTGTGCTCCCTCCCACAGAGCCCCAATTTCTTCTGCTAGATCTATATGTTCCTGCTCTTCTTGACAGTGAACTCTGCCTAGTGTTCACTTTCCTTAAAGCCCCCCCCAACCTTAAACAGTACCTAAAATGATCAGAAATTGAATATGAATAATTTCTTTTTGGTACACATACGCACACACTTATATACATATATACATTCTTACTCTATATGTACACATATACACTTATATATATTATATTTTATGTATATACATACTATGTATACATGTCCACTTATATAATGCGTGCATTTATGTATTATATATATATATACATATACACTTATATATAGTAAGTATGAATATATATAAAATAAGAGAGTGTGTGTGTGTGTGTGTGTGTGTGTGTAGGTGTATATATAAAAACCAGGTGGATGCTGGTGACGGTTTTATACCCCAAACCATCAGTGTTCCCTTGTCCAGTGAGGTTTGGAATATCAGCTGAACTTCACAGTTGGCCAAACTTAGATGGTATGTTGAACTCAAGGACTTCAATTAGTCACTATTTCACATAGACTTTTTTTTCTGCTCTTTCTGAACAAATTTTTGAGAAGAAACTGCCTCCTTTCCTTCTCCTGGAATGTCGACTTCTTGTTGTCTTGTAGTTTCTCATACTCTACTGGTTTAGGGTTTTATTAAGTGCGGGACTTTTTAGTACCACATTCTCCATGGCAGATAAGCTAAATTATTTTAGTCTTAACTGACCTGCCCCCCCCCACGAATTTGTTCTTTAGGAGAAAAGATTTAAGTTTTTTAAATTTGACCCTTTCTTTACAGAAGCCCTCTATCAAAAACCTAATGGAATTCCTCTGTCGCTGGCCTGCCTTTTGCTATGATTACAAATTTCCACTATATTGTGAGACTCTGAAACATGGTAATAGAGTGACTGCCACCCAAAAGCAATCTTTATGACTAGATAAGTCACTGATACTTTCTTTAATTTTTATAATTGGATTGAGACTGGATGATCACATTGATTTTGAGTCTAGAAGGAAATGAGACAACAGGAACATTGCCAAAATAGTCACCTGTCTCGTACTATATTCAACAGTTATACATTGCTTCTTGAAAGGTTTAAATTAACTTAGGATCATACTCTGTAAGTGGCATCATAGCAGCTTCACTGGGACACTGGTATCTTTCTAGAACTTACCTTTGGCAGTAGGCTACTGAAATGTTGACTTATGACCTGAAAGGATCTTCCACTTAGGGCAAAGTGGTAACTTCCTTCTCTGCCATTATCAGAAATGTCTTCCCTGATGTAATTGTCCTGCAAAACAAGACACAGCTATATTGGACCAAAAGTAGTGATCAGAGTCCAAGGGCTCGCTTTAAAAATCATATTCCAGTCCTGATTTCTCAGAGAAGCACTTCCTCTTTGCTGGATCAATCTTTGCACATCACAACCTCCAGTGAATAGGAGAATAACACTTGTGTCCTGCTCTCATACTGATTTGATCTCAGTGAGTCCCAGAGAAAAGCACATTTCACACATTTCAAGTGTAAAATACAAAAGCACCGCAGCTTAGCAAATCTCTCCCTGAAGTGAGAACTCACAATTCTTGCAATTTTTTCTTACAGAATTCAAATTGTTCCACAAGGACCCAGTAGAGATGGGATGCTGGTAAGAGTGGAATAAATGAATAACACATTCCCCCATCTGGAGACATTGCCAATGCACACGGCAGTGTCTCTCAGAGTGTCTAAATCTCCTTTGAACCCAATGGGATAGCTGACAAGCAGGAGAGAATGGAAAATTGGATTTGCAGACTCATTTACTACATTCCTTCTCCTACAGAGTCAGTGATTTTTTTTAACTTTAAAAGAGTGAATTACTTCCAGCACCCAGGAAAGCACTACACCTTCAAACTCAATGGGGATGGTTTGAGAAGCAGATATAATTGAGTTCATGGAACTGCGTATGTGTTAGATATTTGGAGTATGTTGATTCTAGGTCACTTGTACACCTTTGCTGTCAAAGCTACTCAGTTGCCAGCACAATGAGACAAATTAGGTAATACGGCAGACAGTCTGCTTTTAGGTATACCTGGTTCCCATACACAAGGTGTTTCTTTTCTTCTATTAATTTCCAAGATATGGATGCTGGCGATGGGCCAGCGCCTTCATTTGCTTCAATGAGAATGATTTTCTGGTTTTCAGAAACCATTCCAGAATTTTTGGCCACTGTTATTGCAGTCTGAAGATTGTCTCCTAGGAAAAAGGAGAGTGTCCCAAGATGAGGTTGAAGAGATAGAACCAATCACATGAAGTCTACAAAAGGTTGTATTTTAGCTGTGAGGAGAAATTCTCAGGCCTGACCTTCCAAGATTCAAAAATTCCTTTTTCTGGTTCTTGCTGCTTTTCTATACTTTCCTTTGGTATGGTAGCTTCATACAAATGCATTGTTGCCAGAGAGTGGGAAAGAAAAATGAAAAGGCAAAATGCAATCTATTTCGGCCATTTGTTATTTACTTGGTAACTGCTCAGCAAAACCCTATTAGGTTTATATTTTCTGGTGGTTTTATTTCTAGCAAGGAGCAAAGCCACAATAGCCTACCTCTTCTACTTGCTACAACTGAAAACTTGGTCAGCGTGTGAGCTCTCATGACTATGAAACATAAATAATTAGAGCGAGCAGGCACAGTGCAGAAAGTGATCAAACTTGGAGACAGAATGTACAAGGTGATGAAATGCTGTCTTCCCACTCCGCTCTGCTTCCTCATATATCTTTGATGCGAGTGTGAACCCCAGTGTCCAACTTCAACTTGGATGCCCATGCACCCACATCAGAGGGATAGCTCAGATAAAGACATAGTCAGTCTTCCATGGAGATAAAACTCCAGTCTGCCCTCCCCCCACACTGAGCTGGTTTTGTCTTACAAATCCTAGTTGATTTAGATAACTGGTCAATTGGGACCAATCTGTTTTTCCCTCTCATATGTTTCCTCATCTCTCTTGTGTTTTAAATTCCCATCTTATGTTTTAACCAATGAAGAACATGCCCATAAAATCCCTGACACTTAAACCCAATAAAGTAGACCCCAGGATCACATCCTCTCTCCACTCACAACCTCACTGTGACCCAGAAGTGCTGTGTAATTTCCAAGTCTTGCAAGTAATAAACCTCTGATTTTTCAAAGGTTTATGATAGTTTCTACCAAAATACTTCTGAGGTTTCTCAAGAGAGCTATGTGGTGGGAAGACAGTTAGTTCTATGGGAGGCAGGAAGCGTACAGGAACTCTGAGCCTTCGTATGATCCCTTCATGGATCTCACCAGCACAGTGCCAGTGGTCTGTCTGCTTTGCAACAGAGACCCAGTTTGCCATCCATCACCAAGTTCTGCCTTGTAGTGTATGCAGCCCTGACCTGAGCCTCACTCACCTGACAAGGAATTGTTACTTAATATTGAAGAAATCCCAAAAGTTAAATAGGAAAGTAGTAGGAAGAACAGCAAGTACACATGACTAGTAGAGTAACTGCTGCAGCAGATGAAATCAGCATTAAAATTACTTTGGGGCCTCCCTGGTGGTGCAATGGGTTAGTGTGCAGCGCTGCAAGCTGGCCACAGTAGCCTCAGTGCGCATTCGATTCCCGCACCCACATGGCACGGCAGACCTCTCCTGACCTGCCTGCTGCTCCCCTCAGCAGTGTACTTCGTGGATCTGCCTGTTCTTCTCCCCACTCTGTCTCTGGTGAAGCCTCTCACCACTCCTGCGCCTGTGGCCTGTACCCCAGTTCTGTATACATAAATAAATCTATCTTTAAAAAAATAATAATTTGAGTTCCCATAAAGAAGCTTAAATGTACATATGCACATATGCACACACACAATTGTTATTGAGAGCTAGCTACTCCCATCCCCAAAAGCAACTTAAAACTTAGGAAATTAACACAGCAACTCCTAGAAACTGGATATCGAAGGGCTAGTAAGGAGAAAAGCAAAAGTGATCCAAAAGGCTCTTGGATTGTAGGGTTATAAGGAGATGGAGAAGAACAGAAGGAAGTTAAAATTATTGTCATTTCAGCAGTAGAGCTGGAATGGGGAGTATGGGCTTTGGTAGGGAGATGCATCTTGGAAACATGATAGAGTTGCATGTTCCTGACTGGGAACAGAGAAAAGGAAGGTAATGCACTCTCAAAATAGATTAATTCATTAAGAGCTTATTTCTTCTCCATTCAGAAGCATTCACTGAGAAATTTCAGACATTTCCCTTGTGGTCTTTTCTTATGTATCCTTGTTTGTGGGCTTTGGGATTCTGGAGTTAAGAGGAGACAGCGTTTTTCAATCTTTTAGAATCAAAGATCTCAGTGCTGATGGGCCTTTAGGGCAGCTTACAAACCACACAGACTCAGCATACTTCTTTCCCCAATTAGCAATAAAAATCACCGTCATCACACGGCTCATATCTTCTCACTTACTCAAGATCCCCAATGTCCCTGCTCCAAGAGGATTCTTCCTCTCAGAGCCACCAGCCAGAAACACATTACCACATAGCCCTGCTTTGTTTTTTCTACTTCACAATGCTTGTTACTTGCTGTTAATTTAATTGATTGATTAGCTGACTGATTTTCTGGGTCACCCTATCTGAATGAATTTCAGTGCTAGCAGTCATTTTACCTTTCTGTTACTCATCTCCAGTGCCTAGAATGGTGTCTGGCCCATAATAGGCAACTGACAATATTCGTTCAATGAATAAAGGTCTATTTTTACACCAAATTCTCACTGCCTTCAGTACATTTTCGTGTGTACCTGTGATCATCACAGTCCTTATCCGGGCTGAGATGAGCTCTTCCAGGACAGGTTTTGTCTCTTCCTTCAATCGATTCTCCAAGATCAACAATCCCAGAAATATCAGGTCTGATTCTATCTTGTCCCTGGAAGTATATAAATATTATCAAACAAAAATAGCACATTCTGGTTTTTCCTTTTGACAGCAAAGCAAAAGTAAATATGAACATCTTCCCATGGAGTGCTTTTCACTCACGAACTCAAGCATTGTTTCTTCAATGCTGAACATGTGCCAGAATGACCCAAAAAAAAGACAGGAAGAAACAGAAGGGATATTGAAACATTTTGTCTGACTGAATCAAGAAGAAAGGCGAGTACTTTTAAAGAAAAGATGCCCCTTAACCTTCATAGAATGGAAACTAGATGTCCTCAGTGTCTCTTCTATCTGTTGTGGATACCCTGATTCTCTGCACCTGGTGCTGCCCACCAGCAAGGTGGTCCAGCTCTGGTAGAAAACACCATGAGAAAAAAAAGTGAGACATAAGAAATGAAGCAAAATGCCAGTTTCTCCAGAAACCAAGGCTACAATCTATTCCAGGAGGTCTGAGGCCATGATCTCAACAAACAAAAGTTTGAGGCCAAGCTCCCCCACGCTTTCCCCTGAGCTGCTTTCCCCTGAGCTGCAGCAACGCTCTCCTGCGTTGTGTGCATACTGTGTAGAGAAGTTGGCCTCTGAGGCTCCTTCCACAGGATCAAATGCAGAGGGAATATTTGTAGTTGGGTACAAATATTCTTCTAAGATCCAGAACCCTGACAGCTTGAGGAGCTACAAGCAAAAGACAACAGCACTACCTGAATCTGATAAAACCAGGGCTCAGGAATACCCCTGAATCTTGCTCGCCATGTGTATCTCAATGCTAGGCTTCACTTTGGGTCCTGCAGGAACTGGAGTTAGTTATGCTCTTGGGTCACAGCTAACATCTGTACCAGAATAGCAGGAAGTGGACAGGTTGAACTAGTTACCTCAGAGCAGATTCAGAGTGGTGGTTATTTCCTATTCTGAAATTCCAGGTAATCTTTCCAGCTTTAGCTATGGCTGAATTCTTAATCCCACCCCTCCAATCAAGTCGGACCACTCATTATGGATGTGCTCTATCCCAAGTGACCTCTGAATAATTGCTCTACTTTAAAATAGTCCTTCTTATTTCTTGGAAAAGCTGTAAGTTTCCCAGGATCTGACATTGAAATCCTCCCTGGATACTGAGACCCAACTTACATGGATCTACCCCATAAAGATTCCCCAGGAAAGTGACTGCTCCCCCATCACATTATTCTACCTCAATTTAGTTCAGGTTTTATTTGTTCATGTGTTATCATTTCTTATCTGCCTCTATGTCTCATCTCCTTAAGAACTTAGTGAATCACCGGGTTCAACATCCAATTTAACAATGCCCACGTCATACCTGATGCAGGACATACTCACCAAATATTTGCCTCCTTTTCAAAGAGTTTTTAAAAAATATTTATAAATAAAATAAGTTTTCTAAGCAACCTAGGAAAAATTATTTCCTCTTTTGGGAGTTCTAATGCCATGCAGGTTCTCCAAAAACTGAAGTCAGTCTGTCAAGTACGTGGCCATTTAACAAACACCTACGTAAGTGCAGGGAACAAGGCAAAGGAAAAGGAGGAGAAAAGAAACAGCCTCTAACTTCAGAGAATTAACTCTTGAGGACAAAATTAGACTAGATCTTCTTAGTGACATGTAGTCTGGGGAAAGGGCCATGTTTATGTGTAATGAAGAGCGCTGTGGAGTCAGAAAAAAAAAAGTAATCATTTTGGGGTGGAGAAGCCTTCCCGGAGACGGTCTTATCTAGGTTAGTTCTGAAGACTAACTTCTTTAGCACTAGACTGAGGCCCTCTAGTCTTTTGGGTGGTCCTTGAACCCAGACCTGAGGCACTACTTAGGTACTACTTCCAGAGGCAGAAAGATATAAGACAATCAGAGGTCAAGAAGGAACCGAGAAAACGGCTGCAGGGTGAAACATCTGTCAGAGTTTGTGGCCCTCTTGGTGTTCATTTCTGTCACACGGTCATTATAGGGTTCAGTGCATAATCTTCAGGAGATCAGAGTTTTAATCCCAGCTCAGTCCCTTTCCTTTTTGTGGCCAAGGGTAAATCACTTTCTCTGGTAATCTATTTTTTCTTTGATAAAAGAAGTGGTGGAACTAAAGGATCTTCAAAGTCTCTTCTAGCTCAAACGTATGTTATTCTGAATCAAGAAATAAAGTGTCCCTTGAGTGTTCTCAAAACTGGAACTTGGACTAGCATGCTATCTTCTCCTGTTTCCTGTACAGCTATTAGTCTACCTCCCTCTGAAACATCTAGAATAATGAAGAGTGAGCAATATAATACAAAGAGAATACTGTCATCTTTGTGGTTACACTTCAAATCCTTAAAATCCATATATTTTTAAAAAATGAGATATGCAGAAAGCAGGCCAAAAACCCTTCAAGTAATTACGATATCACCACTGGAAACTTTCTGAGTAACATACACATACACACATAGAAAGAATGTTCTGCCCTAATCAGGTATGAGCAAAAGTTGGGTAAATTAACTTAATCTGAGAAGAAGTAGTAGTGATGTGGCTTTAACATAGCAAAGGTAAATTGACTACCTTGGATCAGATTCTCTTTGTAAGCTGTATTCAGACTTTGCTTTGCGTTGGTCAGGACATACACTGTCTTCCTGGCTATAGTCCTCCCCATTGCCTACTGCACATCATGACCCTGCTAGAAGTTCTTTGTTACATGCCTAAGCCTCAAAGACATGAATTTGAAAGTTATATACAATATGTAAACATATTTTATTATCATAATTAGAAGCAGCAGTATAGCGACAGATTATCCATGTATATCTGTGAACAAGTTCTCAGGAAACAAGTTCTACCCCTAATTTTGTTGAATTCTAGAATCGTTACCTCTTTTTCAAATTGTGAGACTCAAGCATTTGACTTCTAGAGGTGAACTTAATGTTTTCTATACTCACCTTGATTTGCATTCATGCACACCTGAAATTTGTTATACTATGGTATTACCTCAATTAAAAAAAATTAATGTAGATGCAATCTCAGAGTTCTCTTCTAGATCCCTGACTTGAGTGACCTGAGTGGATCAAATAAATTTCCAAGGGTCACATTTTGCTAACCCCAGAGAGAGTAGCCTAATCTAATACTCAAGGAGGTCAGATAAGCCACTTGTCCCCCAGGGTCTCACTGCCCATTTCCAAAGAGGCAGGGCTGGGACCAGTCAGCAAATTGTCCCCTGTCTCCACGGGATTAATTTGGAAATTTCCTAAACATCTATACAAGATTTTCTGTGTAGGCACTAAAATATTGTTTATAATTTCCTAAGTCAGGATAGGTTAATACGGTTTATATTATGCTATCATTCTATTATATAGTATGCTGTACTATTATAGTATACATGCCCTATTTTACATTAGAAAAGTGTAGAATTGTTTATATTTTCCCTTGCTCTGTTCTATCAATAAGCACAAAGCATATTTGCACATTTTTAATATTCTATTGATTTTTCCAGGAATGTAATTACCATGTAAACAGAAAGGAAATGATAACTATTTTCCCAGATTTTTTAACCATTTCAGAATCACCTCAGTGACAAGAAGACTGTCAGGATCTCTCCTTCATAAAGCACACCTGTCTCAGTCTGCTTCCCTAGGGCTGCAGTCTGGCTACCCCACGCAGGAGCAAGCAATGGATTTCTCCACTTGATTTAGTGCAGTGAGATGAGACTTTACTGCACTTTTACTTTTGGGAATACACTTATATTTTGATTTTTATTTTTACTATATAGAAGAGCATTGCATTCTTTTATTTTTTTACAGAGTATGTGCAATTTTATTTTAGTATATTAAAGAGAGTAGTCCAAAATAAAGTTACAAAAAGATAGTCTTAAGTCTGACAGGACTGAATGCAAATATGCTAAGCCCCCCCAATGTGAAATTCTGAACAACAAAATAAACCTTAATTATTTCCACAGCACTACTGCTAATAGTGACTGACAGATAGCCTTGGCCACAACCTGGAAGGTGAAATAAGCATGATTAGCCTCAAAACAGTAGAAAATGAAACAGGTAAATTTGAACTAATAAATACTCAAGCTCATTTTAGTTTTTGAACATCCTTATTTTTTAGCTAAACATATCAAAACTTCTTCTAAGGGCCCTTCCAAAGTCTTTCTTTAAACATTACCTCAATATGTGTTAAATCCAAGCTCTATGTGTTTCATCAAATTGTGTATTTTCTAACAATTTTTTCAGAGATGTGTAATATCTTACCACCTTTAACTGATTCCAACTGTAATTTTAAAAGAACTATCTATATGTAGCTCAAAAAGGGACCATGACCCCATTTGCAAAATCTCTGAAAAATTGCTTATATATATATATATATATGTTTGTTTCACAATGCTGTACAATCAACTCATATTTCACAGGTCACACAGTTCTCTTTCATACATTTTCCCAGTGAGTGACCACATGAACTTTGTGATATAAGCAGACAATTATGATTATATATGTGTATAACCATGTTCAGAGACATTTTGCAAGCCATGTCACTGGCCATACCACCCAACCTGGCACATCTCTTCCAAACCACTCAGCATGAACCAATTCCTCCCCCTTACCTTGTTAAGGAAGCAGTGTAATGGTCTATTTCCAGCTTTTTGTAGGCCAGTGCTATGACTCGGAAACCCTGTGTCGTATATATCTGCAGTTCACTAACAAAACTAGTTGGTACTGTTCAGAAAACAACACAGGATTAATATTGCAATATTGACTAATATTGATTAATATGCAATATTGACACAGCTGGTCCTTGGATCTTCCAAGCAGATCCAAGTCTTGCCTATGAAAAGACACTTCATGCTTCTAAAAGAGTACACAAACAAGTCAGTACAAACTCTAAATATATACAGTCAGAGTTAATCTCTTGGGATCCATGAGGTGGGAATGAGAAGGAAGCAGGTGAAAAGAAACAAAGAAAAAAAAAGGATGGGAAATGTGTGTGACTGTTTCTTTCTGGGCTCTATGGGGAGCAACCAAAAGAATGAAAGGAAAGTGACAATTTAGTTATTTTTTGTAACAAAAAACCAATCTGGTCATAGTATGAAAGGGGAATTAGAGTAAGAGGTACTGGGAGTGGGGAGGGTTGGGTCAATTTACCAACAATTGATCTCATAGAGCGAGATTATGGATCTGAGTTGATCATATAACAGAGTCGTGGATTAGCAATTGAAAAGGTAGAGACACTAAAGGCGAAGGGAGAATCTGAGAAGAAACTTAAAGTGGGGCAGGGATGAGAGAACCATCCACCAAGATGGGGAAGACAGAAAACAGATTAAAAAAAAAAGAAAAAATAGAAAGTTAAGCTTGCTTTTGGTACTGAGTTTGGGATGCCAAGGAGTCATCCACTAGCAAAGACATTAAGCAACTGAATTCAGAGATTATGTGCTGAGGGGAAGTGTTTGTCATGTCCAATACAGAGTTGTCAATTGTAGTACAAGCCTACTTATTTACCTGTCTCAGGCTGGCAAAAACTGGCCACCTTCTCTGGTGCGCCCTTCATGAATGCCAGTCGGTCACCCCCCATCACTTGAACAATGACTGTCATCCTCTGCAGTGCTGATGAGAATGGAAACTGATGCAGGATTGCAATCCCTTCCACTGGGACCTGGTTGAGGAGTGAGGAATGAGGAGAGACACACTGACAGAAATTCTAGATGAGAATGGACTCCTCCTCCACTGATCCTCATTTTAGCAAATAAGGGAAACAAGCTCTCACAAAGTTTCAAATGTGGAATTCAAAGACACATCTGTGACTTTCCAGAATTGTGGGCTCCAAGAGATTTTCCCTTGAGTTTGGGTGTTTCAGGGTAGAGCACAGGCAAAGCTTACCTGACTGGCTGTTTTGCAGGGCTTAACAACCATCACTTGTGCCGGCACTCCCTTGATGTGGGAATCAGCCCCAGAAATAGCCATTTTCTGTTACACAAATGGGATATTTTATTGTAGAAATTTATTTCTCATTCCACTGATACTATATTTAAACCTTCCCCTTCAGAAAATCCTCATACCACCTCAACATATACACCGTGTCTCCTCCCTCAGCTTGATGGAGATGAACCGGTCTTATTTCACCACAGGGGGAAAAAACACACACACACATACAATGCACTGAAAATGCTGTGGAACTTGAAGGGCAGACACTTTTGAATTATTCATGCAATTTATCCTGCTTTCTCTGTTGGAATGTGCTATATAAAGGCTCACCCTCCATTTCTGAAGAGCTTAACTTGAAAACAGTGAGTCTGGAGAGTCAGAATTATGTGAAGCCAGCACCTTGCTGTCTTTCTTTTCCAGGCATTGACTAATAATTCCTGCTCTTCCCTCTGCCTAATTTGGATTGATAGTCCTCAGAGCACAACAGGGCAGGGACTATAATGTACATGGTTAATGTTCAGTAAACACTCAGTAATTGCTATCATAATGACCCCAAATTATAGTCAAAGGAACCTTTTAACCAAAGATGTCAAAATGCTTTGTAATCATCATTTCATTGAGTGCTGAAAAAAATCTCAAGAGAAGAAACTGTAATCCCTACTTAGAAATTCAGGAAGGATGGGTGGTTGGCTGAGCTAGATGAGGAGCTTCCAATACCCGTGAGTATCTGAGTGTTGGAAGGATTTCAAGGCTGGTCTTCTTCAGGGAGCTTCACACACGTGTCACAGGAGCTCAGGACTGTACCAGGATGCAGGGGGTGGGTGCGGAGCCATGTGGGTGGAGAGGTATGTTTCCTAAAGGCCATTTACCTCCTCCCCCCATTTTCCAGTCCATATAAACAACGTCAACTATTTGTTACTTATTGTGCTTCTGAATAAGAGTTCCTTTTTAAAAATAGTAACATTGCCTTTTTCTTGTTTTGTTTTAGTTTATGTGAACACTTACCTCATTTTGAGGTTATGGGACCCAAAGTTCCAGTAAGAACAAGGACTTTGAGAGTCAAATATTCAGAACAGAGCCAAATCTAGTACCTAGGAGAGCCAGATTCCTTGTCCTGAACCACACTATTTGCCATTAATCCAACTCCAGAATCTCAGCAAAAGCTCTTTCATGGTCTTTTTCATTGTCTTAAAATCAAAATCACTAAAAAATTTATAAGAATCAAACTCCTAGTAACAATGCATTATCATTATCCTAAGCACTGGAGACAGCAATGATTCCTAATCCTCACGCTCTAAAAAATCTTTGAAACCAGACATTGATCATACTAAATACAAAGAGCTGAAAAACAATTATATGATAATTCTAATTATATGAATATTACTGAATCCATAGCATATGTCAGACACAGTATTCAGGACTTTAAAACTGATCATTCCATTTACTCTGCATGATAACTCCATGATGGAGATGCTTTGTACAAAGGAAGAAAACAGACATGTGTGTCCCTCATTGCTACATGGACTCCATGCTGGAGACCTCACATTTTAGATTACCCTATATCACTCTGACATTAGAGAATATTCTTAAGGTCTCTGCAGAGGATAGACTTACCCAGTTGGTGGCTTCAAACATTTTGAGATCCAGAGGATCTCCCTGTATGGTACCATCAAGAAGGATGAGAGAGTGGCAGCTGGCCATGGCTGCACACAGTGGGCCCCAGGGCAAAGATCTGCCAGAGGTGAAGCTGTGGACTTCCTGGAAACTGAAGACAAATGACAAAGGGTTTGATCCTACTCCTGATGGCAAAATAGAGCTTTGAGGAGAGAATATCTTTACAAAATATAATTTAATGTGCTTTATTACATTAGCATCCAATTTCCAGTCCCATCCATGAGTAGTGTTGTATCTGGTCATTACAGAAGTTTGATGAGTAGAAGTAAGGTCTCTGAAATTGTTTCCTCCCTCTTTTCTTTACCCTTTCCTCTGGCAATTATTTAGTTCCACAGGTAAGGAAGATACTACATGCATCATCCTCAATGATAAATATCATCCACTCCCACCCGAGCTACCAGACCACTTCATTGGCTACCAGTGAGACAGAACAGGCTCACATGGTAGCTAAATGGGTGCACGTAGGTCTCCCTCAATCCTTCACGACAAGGCTGTGTCTTGGTCTCTTTCTCTCCAACATACTTGATGTTTGATCCACACATGGGTGAATGGATTACTAGGAAATCCTAAAGACCATAATGGAAATGAGCCCTGAAAATCATTTTTGAAAAAACATTACACCCTGATCTTTCACCTCTGCATTCATGCCCAAATTGCAGCCATCACTACTGCCACTTCCTGCAGGAAGTGACTTTATCTAAAAGTTACTAAGGTGTAACACAACAACATGGCCGGTTCTTTCATCAGCCTGGGCCTCGCTAAGGCACATCTTTGCTGTGAGTCTATTCTGGATTGTGTGGTGCAGTAGGTAGTAGGTGGCTCATGAAGCATTTCCATCTGGAGGACTCTGTGTGGCCGTGGTGCTTCCTTCACTTGGACCAAATCTGCTCCTTAGAGCAGTCAGAATCTACTTTTCTCCCTCCTCCGCATGTCATTGTCTTTCAGATTTGCTCACTAGCAGGGCCATGCCTTTTTTATCCCCCTTTCTCTAGTGCTACTCAGGGACCTTTAGCTGGGCCTCTAACTATACAGTTTCTTGATCTCTCAACTTCTTTTCTCTTCTTGGATGAGTCTGTCGTAGTTTGTCTTAAAGTCTGGTCACCAGGATCAAACCCCTAGTTCTCATGATATGGGCCCTGTATTTCTTTTCATATGGCCTTATGTGGCCCCAGCCTCTTCTTGAAATAGCCCATGTCACAGCACTCATGAGTCAGTCATATTTCTTCTTGGTTTCCTCATTAAACTTCCCTAAGAGTTCAGAAGCCATTTGACTGCCTACTGACCCCGATAATTATGTCTGTTATTATTATTATAAATCAAAGATCAAGTTGTCCTTGTGGTGTACAATAGTTGTCTTTGTGGTGTACCTACCCCCCAGGTACTTTAGTAAACATCTAAAGGAAAGAGATTACTGAGAGTGTGATTAGCACACAGCTTAAGGTCACATAGTAAAACAAATACAGACCAGGAAAAGATATATATTTAAGACAGCAAAGCTATCATCAGTATTGAATTCCGAGTGTGTAATTTTTAGTTCCTGCAGATTGGGTCAAACCCTGGATTGCACACAGGTAAACAAATCTCTTTCTCACCCCCATGTATTCTTATTTGAATGTTATGATTTATCAAGACAAGACATCATGCCAGTGGTTCTTGAAGTATCTCCACACTGGAAAGACCTTTTTTGGAAGAACTACTAGAGATAAAACTTTTACAAAAAAAGTTATTTAATAGCCAGTAAGTTAGGCACTAACTTCTTGCCTAGCATTGAACCATTTGTCTTTTATGTTATTACTTACATTTTCTGAGTTTTATTTTAAATTTAAATTGCTCCTTTAGTCAGTTGATGGCAACTTGGAAGGAAAAGTAGCAGGCCTAATAATCAATAGACGAAGCATTATGTCCATTGTTTCTATTTAAATTTATATTAAATTTTACTTTCAGAAATAAAAACTTTCAAGTTTATAAATAACATGATGTCAATTCAATAAGTAAAAGCATTCAAAAGCATACTTAATTCATTCAGATGAGCATCTACTGTGCATACTATGTATGCACAATACAATGGCATTAAGGTTACAAATATAAGTGCGGAAAAGACTACTCTTAAGTTGTACGCATATTTGAAAAAAATGCACATACTTTTTTGCTGAAGATAGAACAAAAAAAATATGCTAATCAATAAGGAGACCAAATATATAAAAAACACTCTCTTCTCAAGGGAAAAGTGAAAAGAACTTGAGAAAGTTTAACACATAGAAGAGGCTTCTGCAGACTGAAATAGTTAGAAGCACCAAGATTAATTTTCTAGCATAAGAAACAGACTTGTTTACAAATAAGTATTTTAATATAAAGGTGCATTAAACACAAGTAATTAAAATATTTTATGGTTAAATTGTATGTCATCTGCAAAATGCAAATAAAAGTCATAATACAAATTTTTGGTATAGGTGTTCTGCAATTTTCAGTTGCAAGTGTGAGCGGGAAATACTTTCATTAAAAAAAACAAAAACAAAAACGGGCCCGCCCTGGTGGCACAGTGGGTTAAGCACAGCACTAAGAAGCTAACGCCACTTCCACATGAGTTCAATCCCCGCCTGCCCTGGAGGTGATCCACCTGGTGTGGCAGACCTCTCCTGACCCGCCCGCTGTTCCCTTCAGCAGTGTACTTTGTTGATCTGCCTGTTCTGCTCCCCACTCTGTCTCTGGTAAATCTTCTCACTTCCCCTGCACCTCTGGCCTGTACCCCAGTTCTGCATGCATAAGTAAATCAATCTTTAAAAAAAAAAAACAAACCTGAATGTCAGCTGCTTCATGATCTGATCACATTGGAGTTGATTGAGGGAGAAAAAACAGACAGGGAAGTGAACACAGTCAAGGCCACAAGAGGGCCAGTTAAGAGGGCCCTGCAAATCTTTACCACACCAACCTGCCAAAACTGGAGTCTTTTCTGGCTAGGAAAGAGGAGTTTCCAGCAATCAGAGTTGGAATTCCCAGAAGTAGCATACCCAGGATCCTGAGTACAATAGCTGTGGTTGGATAGAAGTTTCTCTTCCTGAAATTCAAAATTCGCCTTCTGCCCACCTAATTCAGCTTGTACCAGACACTCAAAGGGCAGCACTTTGGCATCAACCACGTTAGTTACACTCGGACAAGTTCAGGTCCCTAACTAATACACTGAAATCAAATTATATTTTAGCAAGGATTTGAATGAATGTGAGCACTTCCCCCATCATTTGCTGAATGTGTTAGTAGTATGGGCAAGAAGTAGGGTGTAGGGGAAAATATGCATGTTTGGTAAAACTTGGAAGTGTTCCAGAAGAGAAATTAAATGAAGACACCCTGGCCACCACAACTTGCCAAAATCAAAGCCAACTGTTTCTGTTATTAGCTTTCAAGAGAAAATGCAGAGTGCTGAGAAAAGACAAACTACATTTAATACAAGCTACTTACCTATTCCTCTCGCAGGGCACAACTCCCCAGAGATCTAAGCCATCCCTTGTTAAGGTGCCTGTCTAAAGAGAAACAAGCACTGGTTTACTTTGAAGTCCCAGCAACCACAGAGTGGAGAGCAAGAAGGTATGTTTTAGCAGGAAAATATGCATCGCAAACAACATTGAGATGAGCACTTCAAGGAACAACATCATAAAGTGTATATCTGGAGACCTGGGAGAAGATTTGGTGAGCTTGGGCCAGTTATGTGGCAAATGGACACTGAATCTTTTAGAATTTCAGTGTTCTTGGTGATAAAAGGAAGAAAACAATTTCTACCTTACATATTTCAAAGATTTGAGGCTCTCATAGTAGACAGAATGGATGAAAGGTCCTTGGTAAGCCTCCAGTATCTGGGAGTCAGTGGGTCACTTACCATTTATGGCAGAAGATAAAAGTATTTCATTAGAAATTAGCAATGAAAGTAGAATTTTTCACTCATCTAAAGAAAGGGCTGTTAGATGACACCTCATTGGTAAAAAGGTGCTTCTTAGTAATTTTCTCAGTGTAGCAGAGTGATGAAGGACTTTGCCCGTAGTAAAACACCAGCTGCCAAACTGGGACAAACTGTTTACTCCCTTGAAGTTTCAGAGCCTGTATCTGAAACATGGTCATAGTTGCATAAAGTTGTTGTGAAGATTAAGTGAAATAATAAAATGAAGCACTAGATTCAATAGCAAGCTTAGAATAAAAGCTGGTGACAATGAAAACTGCACAGTCCCTACTAACTTCTAATTCCAAGTCACATCTGAATGACCTCTCCCCACCCGTTTCAGTTGTGACAGTTGCACAACAATGTGAATATATTTAATGCCACTCATATATGATGAAAATGGTAAATTTTATGTGTTACATACAATTTACCTCAATAAACATATAAATTTTGAAAAAAAAAATAAGGCAACAGTAAAATACCATTTAATGGTTCCCCCACAGCCCAAAGAACATGTAAAATTTTCTGAGCCAAACTTTCAGCATCTACAAATACCCTCTCCTGTCACTAATGTCCTTCTCTAGTCAAAATCAGACCCTGTTCTCCTCCATGCCTTTGTCTGTATTCACTAGCCTGCAATGTCCTTGTATTGCACATAGTTTTGAATTGCCTATATAATATAAAGTTTTGACAGATTAAACCTTTCTGATGGGGAGTAGCCTGCCTTTCTCAGGCTAGCCAGTTCTCAGGGACAGGCAGGGACTCAGTCAACTGCATTCCTCATGCCAACTAAGCATTCAGGAGCCTCACCTCCTCCAGGTGTCCTGCTCCCCTAGAGACAATATTCTTCAGCCTTAGTCACCCTAGAACAAGTATGAGTGGCTACTAGGGACTTCCTCAGAGCTGAAAACTCACAGATGCCACTCACACTGGCCAAGCTTGTGTGGCCGCCCTGTCCTACCTTATCTTAGCTGCCACCATGAAGCCCATGGCCTCACTGCTCGTGTAGCTTTTTTTCTGCTTCCTAATCACAAGTAGGCATTTGTCTGGGGTCCTGCACCCAGTGAGCCATAATTCTCCTTTCTAGGGACTGGGAGTAACATTAAACTTGTCTGTAAATGTCATTGATCTCTCCCTGCCGTCACCCATCACCTTTATCAATTAAATTTTCATTTCTAGCTTATCCTTTCACAACTTCACTTCCAGCATCTGTATATAGCTAAAAGAACACATTCAAGAGAAAAGGCCATAAGAGACTGGTTGCAGTAACTGGCATATATCCAAAGGGGAATTTTGAACAAGATACTACAGATGGGAAAATACGGTACATGTTTGATTGGGGCTTTACTGCCATCAAGTATCATAGTGTTGCATAGTTAAATTAAGAACTGGGCCTCCCTGGTGGCCTACAGGTTAATTAAATCTTAGCGATCTCACCGCAATAGCCTGAGTTCGTTCCCTGACCAGGAAAAAGACCCATGTTGCACAGAAGAACTCTCCTGTCTCACCCACTGTTCCTCTCAGAAGTGTATTTCAGTAAGATCCACCTGTTCTGCTCCCCACTCTCCCTCTGGTGAATCCTCTCACCCCCCCCCCCACACACACCTCTGGCCTACACCCCAGTTCTACTATGATAATCTTTATGAAAAAATGTAAAAATCTTCCTTTTTATTCATTCATTAATTCAAAAAAATAGTTATTGATCACTGATATAACAGGCAATACCCTTAGCATTAGGGATACCGAAATGACCATAACAAAAGATTAAAATTTTGTTTTTTGTCTGACAGTTTTAACTGTGGAGTTAACAGAAGCTATTTTAATTAATTGGTTTTAAGATAATATTGGAACTGAAACAACCTCAAGATATACCTATCCAGGTACCTGTTCCCTCTCTTCTAAACCCCAGAATGAGAGAGATCAAGAGGCCTCACTTTCCTAGAGAACACTCCCAACCAGACAGAAGTGAAATCAGGTGCCCACATCCTGTATTTCCTGCCTCGCAAGAGCATAAAACACCTCTACATGATGACAGTGGTGATATAATGGACTTGAGATATAATGGAGATGAAAACAAGGATGAAACCCACATACCTTGTCAAAGCAGACAAGATTTAATTGTCCACAGACATTGATCCTCTGGGGACTGATGCAAAAGATGTCTCTTTTTCTCAGCCTTCTCTGGGCATAGATAATGCCCGTGGTCAGGGCAGCGGGCAGAGCAGGAGGAACGGCAATCGTGATCACATCCAGGGCTTTCTTCACCACCTCCCCGGCAGGTTCCTGGAAGACAATGGCTCTTTAGCTGTTGTATCAACAGATCAATCAGTAATGATCAGTTCTGTGCATAGGACATTTTTGTGTACTTTTTTCAGGTCAAATTCCTGGGAATGACAAGAGTGGGCCCACGGGTGTGAACATGTTTATGGCTCTCCGTGTATTTTGCCAATGTGTGAACCATTTACAGTAATTAGCAGCAGATAACACTGTATCAGTTAGCAAAGGCCTCCCCAACACTATCTGGATTTTATTTAAAGTTCTTCAATCAAGAGCTAAAACATACATTATTGAAAAAAATATACTCTCGGTTAGAAAATGAAAAAAATACATAGTGTAAGGAATGCATGCAAGAGACGCATATTGGTATCTCAATAATGACTTTATATTATTAGATGGTCTTATATCATTAGATCTGTTACTATAGAACTTCATAATCAATTGCTTATATTGGGGAACAAAAGTATATAAGCAGGTCTCCACGTTTCCCAGGTTTGTAAACCATGCTCTGAATTGAGGTCAACATACAGTGCATGGACTTGAGATATAATGGAGATGAAAACAAGTGCAAGTGTCCACATATGTAAAGAATAACAGAGCTTACCCCACTGAGCACGTAGACACACAGAGTATAGATCATCCCGATGGTGGCGGTCCCCACAAGGCACAGGAGGAACATGATGGCATCCCTGTAGAGCTTAAAGTTCATTGGCTTGGGGTAGAGAATGGATCTCACGAGGTCCCCCTTTGCAGTGTTGAATCCTGAAGCAGTAAACACACACCCCACACTTTGAGGTTGACAAAACCTAATGCAAATATTCTTCTAACCACCGCATTGACTTTCCATTTCTCTAAAAATATTTAGACAGTGTTCAAACTCAAACATAACCAAAGGATAACTGGAAAAATACATACTAGGGTGGTAATATCTTATTGCTTTAGGTCCTATGACTCTCTATGGCCTCCACCTCCTCCTTTCAGTTTTAATGCATCACGGTGATAGGAACTCACCACACTGGGAGCAGGACACAGCCTTCCCAAATAAATCTTCATTTATAAGAAACAACCTATGAGCATGTCAGCTCACGAGTCACTTAGTTTACTTTCAAGGGTGAGTAATGAACTGGTAGAGCTACATCTCATACTTTTCAAAGTTAATTTGTCCATTTCTAACTTGAGATTTTGAGTGAGAAGACCTGAGTTTTAGGTTCAGTTCTGTCTCTGTATGACTTTTAAAAAGTCACTTGAATTGTATCCACCTTGGTCTAGTCACATACAGAGTGGGAAGTGTAGATATGATTGATATGTGGAAACAATTTATAAACTACAAAGCACATATATAATAATTATTGTCATCAATATTATTATTTTTAATAAAATGCATGAGTGTTCAATTCACACTTAAAATATACAGATTTTAAACAAGCAAATGTATGTCTACATCTGGTTTGTTTTCTAAAGGTTTCTCCTTACCTGATAAATTTAAGGCACTAGACAATTGATAACAAAAAGAGATGCTAACGAACCAGTCTGTAGCACCACCGCTCTCACGGCGCCGGAACAAGCTCCTGTGGCCTGGATAACCTCCGTTCCACAGAAGAGGATGTGCCGTTTGTAATCCCCTTCACTCTGTGTTTTCCAGGGCACACAGCTATCCGTCATGAATAATGGAGTTTTAGTGACTGGAATACTTTCTCCTACAGAAAACAAGCACCTTATTTTGTGAGGTAGATGCCTGCGCTCATTTGAATCATGCACACTGGCAGACATTTGCTATGAGACTGTCACATGGCGGGAGCAACCCAAGACTGGGAGACAAGGAGAGAAGCACAGTTCTTGTTTCAAGTAGCTGTAGTCCAGAGGAAGAACCAGATATGCAAACAAGTAAGCTTAATATCATGTTACAAATACTATGAGTACTTTAAAATCAAACATGGCTGCTAAAAGAGGCAGGAAATAAACATAGAGGGAGCAGTCTAGACAGTGGGGTGTAGAGAGTAAAGATATATGAGAAGGTAAATAAAAGGCTTATTTACAGAAGGGGAAATGAAGAAATAAATAACTCAGGGAGAAAGCGAGGGAGAGAAGTTGGTTAATGTGTCCTACCAATTCTGCTGACTTGGAACCCCAATAGCGCAGTGGGAGCTGGCAAAAAGCCTAGAGTCAAGGCACAAGCCAAGAGGCCAAGGGACCCCAAAGGCCCACCTGTCTGGTTTTATACCAAACCTAGCTGCTCAACAACACCCTCAGGTCCCAGAAATTCTCCTTTCAGTGATGATGGGATTTGTAATTCCTAGAGTCTTAATCACTTTGGCCAGGAGACCATAAAAACCTATGTCTGTGGGATTCATTCAGGACATCCTTTCCCCCTAACAAGAACTGTGTAGGACCAAGCCTGGAGGACCCTACACATATGTATTTATCAGACACTGATGGCAGGAAATGGTTGGGGAGATTTTAAGCTTTTCCTATGTATGTATGTATTTCTAAGATGTATTTATTTATGCATGCAGAACTGGGGTACAGGCCAGAGGTGCAGGGGCCATGAAAGGATTCACCAGAGACAGAGTGGGGAGCAGAACAGGCCGACTGATGAAGTACACTGCTGAGGGAAGCAGCGGGCAAGTCAGGAGGAGAGGTCTGCCGCACCATGTGGGTCAGCTCCAGGACCAGAGTTCGAACTCACACTGAAGTGGCTGCAGCTAGCTTGCAGAGCTGCATCCTAACTTGTTGCACCACCAGGGAGGGCTTTCTTTCTTTCTTTCTTTCTTTCTATTTTTTAAGTGAAGTGCCATTCTTTGATGTTTTTGTTAGTATTTTGACAACATAAAATTTCTTCCCTTAGGTGTGACCCAATCTCAACTGCAATCCAGCCTCCAACCTCACCAGACTTCAATTCGTTCCCTGTGTTGTAGAAAAACATGTACTCTCTTGCACATAAATGTAATATAACTGCCCCAGTTAAAAGATTAAAAGCCCCACTCATGCCGTTTGTGGTAACACAAGAGAGTGCCAGGCTTGCCTAGCAACTTGACAAAATTAGGTTATTTTCCCCACAAATAGGTCCATTTGTTCTGAGAAACAGTTTGTAAAGCTTTCTATTTGTCTTTGCAGTGGGAAGTATAAAGCCAGAGGCATGTTATGGTCTCATAGGGTCACTTTCAATAGAAAAAAAATTGTATTTGGCATTGCAAAATTTCTAGCACCAAGAAATTTTCATGAATCTATGGATTCCTTAAAGAAAAGAACTTGACCAGCCATGTTTCTTTCCCCCAATAATAGATTACTGTGTGTTCTTATTATGTTATGTCTCAAGAAATGACAACCACAGGAGCATCACTGCATTTTCACACTGAGTTATCATATCATCCCATTCCATCTTTGAAAATGACTTTACAATTTTTCTTTATCTCACAGAAATAGCACATCTCTCCATAAGTGCACATGTGAGTGAGAACTTGAGTGACTCCGACACAGTGACCTCTTCTCTGAACTTCAGTTTCCACATCTGTGAGATGTGACCAGTTCTAAGTTTCCTCCCACCTCCACCCCACTACTTAACAAGTGAAATACAATTTGAATAACATGCCTAGTGTGCAACTGAAAGTAACAATTTGCTCAGTTCTGCATCATGAAGTTTCCCACATTTAAGCCAAGCTGGGAAGATCTTGGACTTGACCTTGTGCATTTCAGGATATCATTAGTGATTCCAGCCCTTCCAAATTGATCAGAATACATATTCTATGTAAAAATGCTAAACAGAAGCTACAGCTGATTCTGACACATCTAATGACCTCCACAATCCTTTTAGATAAAATGACAAGAGTTTTCATAACCCTTTTGTTCAAGAAGGAAGTGCTAAGCACTCAGAGAGTCATGACTGTATGGAAGAACAAGTAGGACTAGCTTTAATTTGAACCCTCAGAATCAGCACAGAGCAGAACTCTTAAGTAAGATTAAGCAGGAATAAGCAGCCCTAGGTCTGGCCATTGTCATTCTGAAAGAGGAGAAACAAGAGGAGAGGTGTGGGAGCTGTCAGGGTGCTTGCAGAGGCTACAATCCTGAGATACAAGGTACATACCTGTCAGCATGCCTTCATCGACCACACAGCTGCCATCAATCAGGACAGCATCACATGGCATCTGTACTTTGTTCCCTGTCAAAATTAATAGATCTCCAGGGACCAGGAAGCGCGATTCCAGCTCTTGGACTCCAACTGAAAGAGGGAGGAGACAGTGTTAAATCAGGTTTTTTCCCCACAAAAACACAATCCAATATCTACCTAAATTGGAAATCAATAAAAGAAAGCAGCCAGAGTATATTTTTAAGGAGGCTATTCCTCACCATTAATTCAAAATCTGGAAACAGTTAAAAAAAAAAAGTATAAATTCAATTGTAGGCAATAAAGATCCTTATGTATCAAAAAAAATAGTAAACAAAGAAAAAGGAGAAAGGTAGATGATAAATTAGGTTTTCTGATAAAATCAGAAAATACATTTGAAAGTTATAGACATAGACCAGAGTAACATTCCTGATATAAAAAGTGTTCCTGGTAAGAACTGCATAGTCAATGACTATAGACCAAAATTGCTAGCAGCCAAGCGTTTACAAACACTCTCATATACACACTCACACCCATAAATACTCACAAATACACTGCAAGTGATGTGTTTAAACAATGGAAAAACGGGGCCTCCCTGATGGTGCAGCCGGTTAAAACTAAAGCCGCTTCGGCATGAGTTCAGCCCTGCCTGCCCCCACATGGTGGAAGGCCTCTCCTGACCCACCCGCTGCTCCCCTCAGCAGTGTACTTCATCAGTCAGCCTGTTCTGCTCTAGGCTCTGTCTCTGGTGAATCTTCTCACCGCCCCTGCACCTCTAGCCTGTATTCCAGTTCTGTATGCATAAATAAGCAAATCTTCAAACAAAAAACAATGGAAAAATACTCATTCTTACTCATAATAAGAACTTCTTATTATGAATTATCAAATTTCTTTCTTCCTGCCTGCCTGATTTTACTTCTCTCTTTTCTTTTCTTTTTCCAAAGCTGAAAGCTTTTAAAGGGCTAAGCAAAGAAAGGCACCCACACAGGGAGCTGGGTGCACTAGGGGAACAGGTAGTATCCAGCTCCTGGCACTAGAACCTGGGATGGCAAGACCTGTTTACAAAGTCTGGTGCAGGCAGTGAGAAGCCAAGGAAGAAGAGAAAAGTGATACGCACTGTGGGATGAGTGGCAGACAGGGGTTCAGGGTGAGAGTAGACTGATGTGGTATTTTGGAGGCTGAATAGAGTGAAAAGGGTGTGTGTGTTGAGGGGTGGGGGTGGGGGAGGACCGACCTTGGAGCCAGTGTTGGAGAATGGGTTAGACCTTTGTCTCTTAATTTGAATTTGTATGATGTTCCTGCATAGTTAAACTCAGATTTGATGGGTGTTTGGTACAAATTAGTAGATATAACAAGGCTAGTGGGATCCAGGTTTCTCATTGAAAAAGGAAACTGCCAATATAAACAAATAAAACTACAATGAGTTCTGGTATTTGGTTTAGAATTGTAGATAACATTAAAAGCTCACAGTTTTCAGTAAGAAAATAATGTAGATGTAAATGTGTATGAAATAAGGATATAGACACATCTAATGTGTTCTCATCTGATTTGTTTCATCCACATGTTCTTTAGTTCTGTTCTCTGAGAGGAACTGGGGTCAGTGGAAACCCAGTAGCGATGTGGACATCCAGTGGCCAAATTGTAGCTTCTAAATTCTACTCTCTCCCCAAAGAAAATCAGATTCCTTAAAGTAATGGCTGATTACCAGGTCAGTCCAGGAAAAATATAATACAAGCTAGAATATCTTTTTCCACTAAGTAGGAAGTGATGGGCAAAGGCGAAAAAGGCATCAAAGCCAACACAAAGGCTCTGACCATCTAAATCTGTAACAATTTGGGCATCAAAGGAAATAATGATGATAATGACCTATAACCCATCCAATAAAATAAAATTTCATGAGTCTGTAATGACACAAATAAATGAATCAACGTGTAGGGAAAATATGACAATTAATGTAGGAGGAAAGATAAACCAGAAAGTCACTGTTTGGCAACTGTCAAAGTAATAATTAACTTAGCCAAGAAATATTAATGAATACTAAAACTAGTGGGTGAAAACTTGTGGAGTTGTATTTATTTAACTTCAGAATGTCTCCCCACAAAATAACTATCAATTACAAAAGGGAAAAGTGCAATTTTACAATGGAGAAACCTGGCAGACACCATTTAATTAAGTAAAGCAAGTTAATGTTGCTGTAATAGGACAAATTTAAATTATGTACCAGCTGAGAGGAGGCAATGAAAACACAGCATCACTTCTGTGATATTCCAGCCAAAAATGCAGAATCGAGTTTAATTATGAAGGAACATCAGATAGATCCAAACTAAGAGACAGTCTACGAAATAAACAGAGTTGAAAGAGTCAAGGTCGAGTCAAAGAAAGACTGCAAAAGCATGACAAACTGCAATATTGTGTGATCCTGGGGCCTCTTCTTTAAAAGAACATAATGAGGGCTGTCCCTGGTGGCACAGTGGGTTAAAGCACTGCACTAAGAAGCTAAAAGCCACTGTAGCGTGAGTTCAATCCCCATCCCAGAGGTGATCGACATGGTGAGGCAGACTTCTCCTGACCAACCCACTGGTCCCCCTGGCAGCATTCTTCATTGATCTGTCTGTTCTGCTCCCCATTCTGTGTCTGGTGAATCCTTTCACCGCCCCTGCACCTCTGACCTGTACCCCAGTTCTGTATGCATAAATAAATAAATCTTAAAAAAAAATAATGAGACAAATGTGAAACTTAAATAGGACCTGAGCATCAACTGGCACTAATGTATCAATTAATTATTAAAACTTCCTACTATTAATTGCTGCATGGCCATTTCATTAGAATAATGCTCTTGTCTTAAAGAAATATACCTAAGATATATGGAGGTCCTGTAGCCATATGTCAGCAAATTATTCTCAACTCAGAAAAAAAATATTTGAACTATTCTTGCAAATTTTCTGTAAGTTTTAATTATTTCCTAAATAACGAGAAGAATGTACACGAGATAACACTGTTCACCTATTTAATTAGAAAAGTTGAAAAACTTGTGAGAATATCCTGTTGGCAAGGCTCTGGGGAAGACACATTCTCTTACACACTTCTGGTACAAATACAAACTGGTACAATCTCTAATGGACAAAAACTGGCAATATCTGCTTAGCAAAAGGACATTCTTTTCTTTAACTCAGCAATTTTGCCTCTCAAAATGTATACCAAAGATAGACTGGCAAAAATACAAAAAGACATGCACAAAGCTTTTTATCATAGCACTACTTGTAAACTAAATGACTTTTAAAAATCATCCTGTACAAAACAACTGAATAAACAATAATTCCTCCATGCAAGAGAATACTGTACTATTGAAATAATGAATTGTACATGTATAGCTGTATCATATACAATTTGCATTTTTTTATTTGTTAAAGAATTATTTATGCATACAAGAACTGGGGTACAGGCCAGAGGTGGGGGGGGGTGAGAAGATTCATCAGAGACAGAGTGGGGAACAGAACAGACACATCTATTTAAATATAATGCTGAGGGGAGCAAAGGTTAAGACAGAAGTCTGTTGCTCTATGTGGGTGACCTTTCTGGCCAGGGATCAAACTTGGGCAGCAGTGGATGAGGATAGCTTCATATTACTCCACCAAGGAGGCCCACTTTACATGTTCTAATGTAAGATTAGTAAAAAATAAAAAAATAAATTCTATAGGGAGAATTTTTACATCAGGTAGAGAGAAGAAAGATAAGCAATAGAGATGCCAGATGTCTTCTGCTTTATGGATTTCACTTTCAAACCATGTGGATATTTTATACTATATTTTTACAAATCAATAAAAAAATAAACTTGAAATCCAATACTAGAAGTCTAAAGTGAGATGAACCCATCAAGGTGTTAGCATAACCATACAGAGAATTACTTTAAGTGATGTTAGAGCATATTTGAAAATTGTGTATACACACATTAATGTATACTATATAATATACATTATACTTATATAATGATTATAGTGTGTGTGTATATATATATATATATATATACACAAATATACAATTTTGATATTCATAATGATATATCACCAACAAGGAAAAGGAACTCTAAAAATAAATGTTAAATTATTTTTTTTTGAATCATATTGCTGTGGGGCATGTTGATATTTTATTTTGAGGTTGTTGTATAGAGAGGGATAAAGTAAATAAGTAATCTGTTGCTTTTGGTATAGAAAATCAGGACTTGTGGTATGGAGATGGTTGTCCCACCAACAAAATTAAGTAAAAATTCCACAGTACTTAAATTGAATTGAAAATATCAATATAAACTCATAATGTCTTCTAAAAAGATGTAGAAAGTGGATGCCATAGAAATGAGTTTACCTAACACTCTGTTGAGGTCACTAAGTGCTATATTTAACTAAGAGCTGTTTGGATAAAACGGATGTGTCCAGATTTAGAAGAGGAATGACATAAGATAAGTTTGGAATATCTTATCTTAACAGAGAGCAATAAAAATGCAAAGTTTACTGGGTTCAGGTCAAGAGAACACAAGAGTCAAAGTTGGGATAATGTGAGAAAAAAATGGAAGAAAAATTGCAGTGGAGGGAAATATACCAACCAAGCTTAACATTATATCACCATAATGACACGAAAAAAATTCCTCTGGAAAATGCCAGTGAATCAACCTGTTAAGTGAAAGCTGTCAAATAAAGTACAAAATATGAACTATGAAGTATTCTTGCCAAAAATTCAAATATGTAGATATGACTACCAATTTAAAAGTACAAGGATAGAAAACCATAATAAATAACTCTATAGATGTGTAATCAATAGAATTTAGATTGTGGAAACCAGTGAACAATTTACTTTCTTCAACAAAAAATTTGCAAGGTAAACAATACTATATGAAGGAGGAAATGTTATAGATTAATATAAACTTGAGATTTAGCAACCAATTGCAATATGTAGTCTCTTGGATCCTGATGTGTGTGTGTGTGTATTTCAGTTGAGGAAATTTAAACACTGACTATATAATTAATACCTTTTTCTGTTATGGTATATTATTAAATATGATAAAGAAATGTAAAAGTTGTCTTTATTACATATCTATTTTTAAATGAAATAACATAATACTGGAATAGTTGCAAGGTAAAGGAGGTGGAAGAACAGATTAAGACAAGAATCAGTGAACATGAATTGGTAACCACTGAATCTGGATAGGTACATGGGAATTCAGTATCATATTCTCTCCATTTGTTGGATCTGCACAAAATGTTAAGGCAAGAAAATGATCACCGCATTCTTGAAGGTGAAGATTTGCTTCCAGCCAATATTTAATTTTCCTATAGAAAAAACAAAACCATACAAAATATAGGAAACAATGTTTTTTTTCCACACAAAGCACAAGCAACAGATGAAACAGGAAACAAATCAAGGTGTTCTTCACTGCCCAGTTTACTGTCTGTCAAGAGTTTCCAGGTCACTGTGCAGGAATAAAGTACCCAGACAGGTGCAGAAGTCTCCCTGAATTCTGAAAAGAGATGAGAGTCTATGAAGACAAAGGGGGCTGAGCGCACAGAACAGAGTACTGGAGGAAGAGAACTGGCCAGAGGGGAGAGTGACAGCAACCTGCAGGAGCCCCTGCCTACAGCAATCTAGTAACAGCAAATGTATGAGTGAACTACTAGCTAATGTACAGTTGGACATTTGCATTTTAAGATGTTGTTTGCAATAACAACAAACAGAAAATATTAGGGATAAATCTGAAAAAGAATGTGAAGCACCCATGAATTGAAAACTGCAAACTAGTGCTGAGAGAAATCAAAGAGAACCTAAATAGATATACCATGTCCATAAGTGAGAAGAGTCACATGTCTTAATATGTCAGTTTTCCATGAATTGGTTTACAGATTCAACATAATTCTACTCAAAATCTCAGCATGTGTTCTAGAAGAAATTGGCAAGCTGATTCTAAAAGTTATATGGAAATGCCAAGGGCCCACTATCACCAAAACAGTTCTGAAAAACAAGAACAAAGGCCACAAAAAGAACATACCACTATTCTATTTCAAGACTTTTTATAAAGCCACAGTGCATGGCATTGACATAAAGGCAGGGAAACCGATCAGTAGAATGGAATAGGCAGTACAGAAATTGATTTACCTTGCATGTGTGATTTTTAACAAAGAACAAAAACAATTCAGTGAAGAAAGAATAATCTTTACAACAAATGGTATTGAAATACTTGTATATATGTTTGTAAAGATGGATCTAAATTGAAAAAATTCAAAATGCAGCATAGGCTTAACTGTAAAACCAAAAACAATAAAATTTCTAAAGTGCAGCATAGGAAATGTTGATGACATTGGAATACACAAAGGATTTTTAAATGTGACACAAAAAGCAGATCCACAAAAGAAGAAATTTATGAAGTATGCTTCAACAAAAGCAGAGACATCTGTCTTTGAAATACACTGTAAGGAAAATTAAAAGACCAAAGAGTGAGAGAAAACAATCCAAAATAATGAACAAACTCTTAAAAGGTATCGATAACAGGAAATGAATCAAATAAACAAAAATTAGGCAGAAACTTCACCAAAGAATTATACAAGCAGCAAACAAGCACTTACTGTGCTCAGTACCATCAGTAAGGGAAATGCAGAGAAAAATATGAATGATATACCACTATGAAATTTAAAAAATTAACTATAGCAAGTGTTGGTAAGAATATGGAGCGAAAGAACTCACACGCCAACCATGGCTGGTAGAAATATAAAATTATACAAACACTTTGGAAAACAGTATGATAGTTTTTGGAAAAGTTAAATATCTACCCATCATATAATCTTATCATTCCACAGCTAAGCATCTTCTCACAAGAAACAAAAATGTGTATCCATACAAATGTGTCCAAATGTTACTAGCAGTATTATTTGTAATAGGGTAAAACTGTAAATAACTCAGATTGCCACCAACACGTGAATGAATGAACAAAAGTGGTATAGCCACAAATAGCCACAAAATGGGATTCTACTCAGGAATAAACTATTAATATACTTAAGAAACAAAATGGATGAGTCTCAAAAGAACTATGAACTTTGATATAAATAAAATTAACCTAAATGCACTATAAAAGACAAAAATGCACAAGCTGTATAACATTTATATAAACATACAACATATAAATGTATAACATTTATATAAACATACAATATGGTATCCTGAGGATGGAGGTGGGCAGAATGAGTTGTGGATGGGAGGTTTGCAAATAATTACAAGAAAAATTGGGGGGTGGGTGGGTTATGGGCAGTTATTATCTTTACTGTGGTGCTGAAGTCATGGGTAGTATATATGTCGAAATCTATCACACTGAACACTTTAAATGTGGCTAGTTTATTATAAGTCAGTTTTACCTCATTACAGTTGCTTTTTTAAGGTGGAAACATCGTAAGTTTTTCATCCTGTTAAGTAAATGCACAAGGAAAAGATGTGTCTAAAGATGACAGTAAGAGGAATGACCAGAAAAAAAAAATTGAATGTTTTTCTGGTTCCATATGAAAAACACATAGTTCTAAAATAATGGGACTTACCTTTTCTCCCACACACAGAGACGGTAACATTATTATGTGACTCAACCAGGTGATGGAGCTTTATAGATTGCTGAAAAAGAAGAAGGGAAACTAGAAAAGGATTTCCTATTTAATGATAAGTCCCAGGTAGTATTCAGTAGTTCTTCAGTAGAAAGGAATTTCCCAGTATGCTCTGTCCACTCAAGAGATTTTGATAGTGATAAATTTGTGTTTAGTTATTTAAGTAGATAGATTACAATAATTTTGATCATTCAAGATATGCATTTATTTGTGAACAGCTTCAAGAACTCAGCATTATTTTTGTTTAGGAATATCCCACATCAAAGTATCTAATCTGTAACTTTACAAGTTGTTTTTTTGGTTTCTACTATTTCTTCATAGTGTCTACTGAACTCTGTGGCACATTGAGAATGAATAAAAAGAAGACAAAAGAAAAATATAACTATATTTGATTTCATATTTATTGGGGAACTATTGCATGAAATGCTATCTACCTGGTTCTGAGGAATTAAAGGCCTCAATCATTTGCTGTTCATTTTTTTATTCTGATTTTGTCACTTAAAATAACTTATCGTTTCAAATCATTTACAAATCTGATTAAGAAGCCTTAAGGCTGATACATAAAATAAAATAAGCTCCAAAAGTATTCTAAACTCACTATTTAAATTCTTTTATGCACTCACCCAGAAATTATAGACTATGCTAAGAGGTGGGGATAGAACGGTCAACAAAACCAATGGGATTCTTACCATCAAAAAAATTACAAATACATTTAGTGAATGTATCAAAGTAGGTAACAAAAGACAAATACATTTAATAATCATATGCTGTAGGAAAACCAGAGTGACTCCATTTTAGACCAACGCCAGCTTAAGCCATGACCAGTGATTGCCCTCACCTGTCGGAGGGTTAGCCAAATTCCCCACTGTTTATTCCATGTGTGTTAACCTGAACTGATGATCTATATATAGGTCTATTAATTTTAGTAGAACAAAGATACAGGTAGCAGTCCCCTGGACACCTGGCATCATTAGCCTTATACAAGAAAGATCACATATTCGAAACAGGGTATATGAGGGCCCTGTCAAGGGAAGTCCTTTAGACCCTGCTTTAACGTCCTGACTTTGGTGCTAAAGACCCCTGCCCAAATCAGCACCAAGTGGATTAATGAACATGACTTTGTTCTTCGCACTCAAATTATTTCTCAATTGAGAGAAACTTATTTCCTGAGTGCTGCACACATACATAAATACACCATTACAATCAATAATAATAATAAAACATAAGCTACTTTTGGAGCATATCATAAACAGTGAAACCAATAGAATTTTCTTCTAAAGAACTGATGTTGAGTCAAATACAATGTTGGATCTATGACTCTGGGATCAAAAGTTATTTCTGAACTTGAAACATATATAAAAATTTGATGTATTAGCATATGTTAGCTTTAGAAATGACTGACAAATCAGCTATAAGAATAACAAATAATCTTTCAATGTACTATAGGAAAAGACCCTCAAGACATATTATTAATAACAGTAAAGGTAGGTAGAAAATTATATAAAAAGTACATTTTATATAAGAAAGAAAAGCAAAATGTATGTATTTGCTCCATTTGAAATTTTTCAGAGAATGCACAAGAAACTAATAAAAGAAAGAGGAAGAGGAAGTACACATTTTATACAAGTGATTTCACATTGCTTTGATTTTAACACACTCATTTTTTAAAAGGCCAGGGAGAGGAGGGCAGAGAATAAAAGAGAATGGAAAAGAGCAACTGGAGAGGTTGGAAATGTTGTCACTGCACCCAGAGAGAAGGAGGAGGAGATTTCAACAGCAGATGTGGAACAGCTAACAAATCAACTGAAACTGAGAGTTTTAGGGATATCTGTACTGGGAGGAGAAAATGATGTCCACTGTGGGAGGACCATAAAATCAGCAAGCAAAAGACCAACACCCAATAAAAATTAAGGAGAAGATAAATACATTTCACAGCAAAAGAAATACAATTAACTTAAAACATGAGTAAGTGCCTAGCCCACAATGAAAAATGCTATTAAAATTCTGGAATTAAATAATTTTCCTTTATATTGGCAAAATTGGCAAAGATAAGGAGAAAAATACTCATCTACTCTTGGAGGGGTTTAGTATTATTGCTTAAGAGGCATTTTGACAACAGCTATTAAAATAATATATTTAGATTACGATTAAATAACTTCAAATATAGAAATTTTAAATCTCCCTATCAGCATAAATATATATACACTGCAAATATATGGATATATGTGTGTGCACAAATGTATGTGTGTGTGCACATATATCTGTAATAAACATATTTTATAACATAGAAGTCACATTTACTTATACTTTATATATATTCATAAACATATATATGGGGAAGTGTGAAGAGATGGATGTGTAGTCTTCATTGCAGCATTGTTTTAATAGCAAAAGACTACCTAAATATCTATCATTGTTAGACTTTTTAAAAATATATGGTATATCTGGGCCCTCCCTGGTGGCGCAGCGGGTTAAAGAACAGCACTGAGAATCTAAAGCCACTTCTGCATGAATTCGATTCCCACCTGCCCCGGAGGTGACCACATGGTGTGGCAGACCTCTCCTGACCCACCCGCTGCTCCCCTCAGCAGTGTACTTCGTGGATCTGCCTGTTCTTCTCCCCACTCTGTCTCTGGTGAAGCCTCTCACCGCCCCTGAGCCTCTGGCCTGTACCCCAGTTCTGTCTGTACAAATAAATAAATCTTTAAAAAAAAATATATGGTATATCTAAGTAACTCTACTTGTGCAGAGACTGAAACACATTCAGATGCACATAGGTGAAAACACCACGTGCAGAACAGAGCATGCAGTGTGTGTCCACTCGTGTAAGAGGCATGAACGCACTGGAGCTAGATACTGCTGGAAGTATATAGGCCACCTGGTCCCAGTGGATGCTTCTTGAAAGGAAGCCAGGACACTGGAAAAACTAAGGTGGGAGGCTTATTGACTTTTCACTTACACTGTCTCTTCTGGAACTTTTTCTTTACCATACCCATTTGTCACATTTTCTTTTAAAAAGCAATTTTAAAACATTATTTAAACCTGCGGCCTAGTTATGACCTTAACAAGAGTTGTGCAAAAGGAGTCATGGGAAAGAGAGGCAGGTCAGTGTGCTGAGAAGTGAGAGGGAGATGAGTCAGTGATGAGAATGTACAGAAAGCACTCAAGAAGCTTTGCTGTAAAAAGGAGAACAGAGCAGAGCAACTGAAGTGGGAGTATGATCAAAAATAGGAATGGTTTGGTTTATTGGAGGTATTTTTTCAAGTTGGGAAAAGTTTAAGCATGTTTAAATGCTTGTGGGTAGGCTCTTCGGGAGAGGGAGAGAGAAGGGGTCATTCGTGGACCCCATGAGCTCTCTAAGCTGGAGAGAGGGGTTACCATCACAAGCACAGGTGGCGGGTCTGTGCTCCTCTGTAATGAGATCCAGGGCGGAAAGAAGGTAGAAGGATGAGAGTGGGCTTTTGAGCAAACTTCTGACTAATAGCTTCTATTTTTGTGAAACAAATGGTGATACTGCTGCTGAATCAGAGAGGAAAAATGGAATATGGGCAGCTGGCATCTCAGAAACTTGAAGAGAGAGTGTTTTGAAACTATTTTAGAGAATAGAGAGCAAGCTGACCAGAGACATAGAAAGCGTGCCCAGCTGGGGTTGGCAGTCGTGAATTTATAGTGCAACCAGCCAACAGAGCTGTTCTATGTGATATTTTCCCATTGTCTCCTAGATGTTCCAGTGTAGAAAAATAGAAAGCCAAGAGTTGGATGGACTGGGGCTTGTCAAAGAGCACCAACCAACTAAACATAAAGGGCATAGAAGTTAATTTTAAACAAACTCCTCCACCCCTCATCCCACTTCCACCACCTACAATCTATTGGTCTCTTCAAATAATTGGTCACTTATTCACAATTCACAAATAATTGAGTGTTGTGATGAACCTGCCTGAATAAAAAGAGGGGGAAATAACTTTCGGACAGGGATTGGCATGTGAAGGAAGGGGAAGGAATTAACTCTTACTGGATATCATTACTGTGCTAGATATTTACAGACTTAATGTCATTTGTCATAAGGTGGGTATTGACTATGCTTTATTCTCCTTTCCAACAAAATTTCAGTGAAGTCATCATCACTGTCATCCTGAGACCTTACACTGATGGACACACTCACCTGTCTCAGATCATATACTGTCAAGGCTATGGAAACGATGGACATGAGAATGATGGCGCAAGCATATTCCATATAGTCTTCACTGAACCACAGACAAACACTGAAGAGTTGAAATATGTAAAATGGATTTAAAACCTGTTGGCAGACATGAAAACAGGAAGACAAGGGAGATATTTAGGTTTCACACTTAGCTATTCAGTGACTTGTTTGTTTTCGTAATCCTCTCCATGACATAAATCTTCCCACACAATATTCTTATTAGATCTAGTCAGCTAGTGCCATGGGCCCGACATTGCACTAAGCAACTTTACATGAATTTGCTCATTTAATTTCCATAATTACCTGATTAACCAGTTATTGCTTATCTCCATTGAAAAGATAAAGAAACAGAGCCATAGATCTTGAAGAACTTGCCCAAAGTCACACAGCTGTGACTGTCATAGACCAGCAATCTGGCTCCAGAGCACTTATTTTTAATCACTGTTGCACCTTATAATTTACAAAATAGTGTCTCATGCACCTCATGCTAAGCAGCACAACAACTGTGTAGAGGTTATCATTTCCAGTGTGCATTTACTGGCATTCAGAAGGGACAATTATTAATACAGCTTTACACTTTCTTATCATTGTTCTCTAGGACACGGCATCCACCATCCCAGAGTCATTAAAGTGTTTTCTACTCATGGGTGAGGTGAAGATTACAGGGACTCACGAGGACAGAACCACAGGTCCCCAGTGAAACCAGTGAGCTGTACACGGCTTCTAGAACACTGTGGGGAAAGTAAAGGGTGACTCCAACAGCTGTGATCCTGCTTTGGTTAAAAACATATTGGGGGGGGCCCTCCCTGGTCACAGTGGGCTAGGATGCAGCACTGCAAGGGAGTAGCAGCCACGCTTCAGTGCAAGTTTGATCCCCGGGCCCCAGAGGGGACCGACATGGCGGCAGACCTCCTCTGACCCATCTGCTGCTCCCCTCAGCAGTGTACTTTGTCGATCTGCCTGTTCTGCTCCCCACTCTGTCTCTGGTGAATCCTCTCACCGCCCCTGCCCCTCTGGCCTGTACCCCAGTTCTGTATACATAAATAACTCTTCCCAAAAAAACAAAATCCATTTAAAGGGGGAAAAAAAACCATATTGGGCCCTTACTCAAATGCCTTCTAGTTGATAGTCATCTGTTTAAACAAGTAGAGTAATCCTTAATTCTGATCAGGAAGAAATACACAGAAACTTTTCCTATCAGGTTTTCCTTGTTTGATTTTGCTTTCTTTCATGTCTGAAAGCTTGCTAGAAATATTGAGATAGCACCTCCAGTATAGTAAGCTTTATATAAGGCAAGGAGGAAGGGAAGTACAGCAGAAGACTCAGAGGACATCTATATGCTTATGGTTTCATAATAAGCATCATTAACATGAAAAATAAGCCCAATGATTGATCAAAGCAAAAAAGTTCAACTTAGTAAATGATAGTCACATTGAGATTCATCAAACTGATAAAGCAGACAGATGCTTCATGGCCTACAATTCTGAATGCTGGAGAAATGCTTATGTTGCCCCTAAGAAAAGTATTTGGTTCTTTCAAATTTTAATTACTATTTTAGTGACACAAAGTTGATATGGGCTAAGAAGCCTAAGACTAAAGAAGAAAGAAACGAAACATTCTGTTCACTCCATCATTAGAACAAGTAGACACTTGAGAGTCATTTTTCACACTGGCCCTGGCAGTGTGTGCAAAGGACAGACTCCATGTAAAACAGTAAAAAGAAATGTAAAGAAAACATGTTTGGAATTTTCTTTAATACCCCAAATTACAGCTACTTATTAGCATGCATCATTCTTGATCATTTAACTAGACCCAAACTGCCTATTTCTGTCCAGCACCAAGGAAAAACACTGATTACCTCCTTAATGAGCAGCTTCCAAATGGGTATGATTTCCACATCGATAGTATTTGGCCCGCATATTAACCTCCTGTAGGGAGCAATCACAGGTCACGGTTACAACCAATAAAAATAAACCTCACTCTCATCCATTCATAAAAAGATCTACTCCACTTCCTTTCTCACCATGGGGTCAGTGAAAGCCCCTATTACACAGCATTCCCATCTTGCTCAAAATTACTTGGGATGGGCAGGGTTCCCAGGCACAATAACAGTAAGTATGATTATATTTCATCTGTTGGACTAGCCTCTTCTTGAGGCCTAATTATTTCCCTAGTGAGAATCTGGGTATTTAATATTAACCACTGTTCCATTCACATTGTTTCAGGCTTGGTGCTCTCTCGACACTCTCGTGGGCTTCATGGGAGAGGGATGAGATGTGTGATCACAAGATAATAGTTTTACCCATTTTCCTATTCCTCTCCAGTGCTGGAAAGCTACAGACTTTGTTTTAATATGAGTGAAAGGGTGTTGCGGTCTCAAAAATACGCATAGGTTATGAAGTCCTTTCATGGAAATTCAGAGATGTGTGTGTTTGATGAGGCAGTTATTTAGCTGTGGCTAACACAGACCACTCTCTCTGTGCCTTCCTGTGGCCCTCCAGGACTGTGGTCAGGCTGAATGCATTAGAGCTGTGCCTCTCACACTTTAATGTTCACACAGATAACTCCGTGATCTTTTAAATGTGGAGTTTCTGACTTAATAGGGGTGAGGTATGGCCTGAGAATCTGCACTTCTAAGTTCCCAGGTGATTTTGATGCATCAAGACCCTAGGTCTCTTCAAAATAAAGAAAACGAGTTCTGGGAATTGTAAGAATCATAGAAACTGAGAACCAGCAAGCCATCTTCCTCTTTTTTTTAACAATTAGGTAACAAAAGCTCATGAGAAGCTCTGTGCTCAGAGCCACACAGTGAATCAGGGACAGCCACTTGACATTCAAAATCCAGTGGCCTCCCTAAACCTTGCTCCTTTGCCTAGGAACTGAGTAGGAATCGAGGTTCTATATTCCTCTGTGATCTTCTTCTGCTCCTTCTCAATTATTATTACTTGTTTTTCTAGTATAATTATATTGATATCTATTTCCTGATAACAATGAAAATTTCTCAACCTTATGTTATAATAACATTAAGAAGCATTGTGTGAGGAGACTATATACTCAGAAACATGAGACTCAGTCCTTTAACTCGTTCATTCTCATCTGTGTAACTTTCTTCAGGCCATTCAACCTCTCTGAGTCTCAGATTTTTACCTGTTATATTGGCTCTATCTCTTCTGTTCTCATGCACCCAAAACTGCTCAATAAAGTTTATGAAAGCATTTAATTAATAATACAAAATAAAGTTTATGAAAGCATTTAATTTATAATACAAAATAGAGCATTACAATGTTTTCTGATATTGATTCATTAAGATCAACTATTTAGAGGATTCTCTATTACGCTAACTAGTAGCTATCCTTTTGAGATGGTATAGATAACAATATACATGGTACCTAATATCTTGTTCTTCTCTTGTTAGACCTGATCCAAATTTTAGATGTATCTTGGCAGAACTGAGCCAGTCTTCCAAAGAGCTAAAATAATAGTAATGAGACAGACATATTTAGTAATAATGTTTTTGTGCTATGATTTTTTTTTCTTGGAATACATTTGCTACAGCAACTTACCCAATTTTCTGGAACTGTCCTTCCAAGTTGTTCCAGACATATCTTATCTTCTGCACTTTTATGCATCTCACCTGCAAAATAAAAAATACTAAGAAATTCTCCAGGATCAGGAAATATATATGTCTTGAGGATCAGGAAATATAAGACAGTTTAATGGTCAAGGAAATATTTGTTGAAGCAAACTTAGAACCTTACTACACAAATTTAAGATTTTATTTTTTCTTAACATACTCTGTTCCTTCCTACTACACAGCTGGCTTTCTTTACTAAACCCTATCCTTCAATCCTGCATCATGGAGCTACTACATGGATAAATATATGACTAAAATTCAACCACTGCCTTCCACTATTTTAAAACTAGCAAGGAAGTAAAATATATTTTATTTTATACAGCATAACTTCAAATGTGTCCATGTGAAAGAAATGAAAAACATAGCCTTGCAATGTTGTAGGATTACAGTGGTTTTGACAGAAGGCATCAGGGAGGACAGGACATTTGAGCTCAACCTTGAGGGCCTAGGAAAACTTTGCAGAAAGGAAGGGGCATTTTCATTATTCACAGTTAGTTGTGGGAGAGGGGCAAGTGAGTGGGACTATTTGACTGAGGAATGGAGGATGATCCTAAGAAGACAAAGGTGAGTTTATAGATGCTGGGTTGAGATATTTAGGTTTTTATCTTATCTTTATCCTTCCAAGTAACCTAAAGAAGAGACACTGAAAAATATTAGGCTGGCAATGGGCACTGAAAGGGAAAATGTGCTTCCATAAATGAGGGTCTGAGGCAACAGAAAGGAAAAGAAAGGAGACAATGGAAGGAGAGAAGAGGGGAGGGAGAGGATGAGAGGGTAAAGAAGGGAAGGGGGAAGGGGAAGAGAAGAGAAAGGAGGAAGGGGGGAAGGAGAGGAGTAGGGGGAGGAGAAAGAAAAAACAGAGAGAATGATTATTGCTTATGACATTGGCTTTCTTGTTTCTGATTTCTTAAAAAAAAAAAAAGATTTACTTATTTATGCATACAGGACTGGGGTACAGACCAGAGGTGCCAGGGTGGTGAGAGGATTTAGTAGAGACAGAGTGGGGAGCACAACAAGCAGACTGATGAAGTACACTGCTGAGGGGAGTAGTGGGTGGGTCAGGAGAGGTCTGCTGTGCCTTGTGGGTCACCTTCCTGGCCCTTGATTGAACCTGTGCTATACTTTAACTTGTTGCACCCCCAGGGAGGGCCCTGTTTCTGCTTTCTGCAAGCAATCTTATAAGTGAAACTGAATCTTCATTAAGTGGTATCTGAGCTAAGCACAAAGAGAAACAGTGAGATTGTTTTATCATATGAAACAATGACTATAACTTCACTTTGTCCATTGGAGTCAACTGGGAAACTAAAAATACTGATGTCTGGATCCCACTCAAGAGGCTCTGATTTTATTTGTCTGGGGTGCAGCCTAGTCATTAACATTTCTAAATTCCTCAAATAACTCTAATGTACAGTCACAATTGAGGAACAGCATTCAAGATTTCTTCTTAGAGCCACTCTGACGACTGTGTCCTTGAGAAATTCAACTAAATCTCTCAGTACTTCCGCTTCCCTGTGAATAAGTTGAGCCAACAAGTCAGATTATCTCTAATTTCCACTGCAGCTCCTCTGACTATGTCCTACACCTACAATATTTGATAGATTTTTTTTATATTTGATAGATTTTAATACTGAGAAGAACATGTTGCTGGTACCTAGTAAGTGCTCAATATATTCTTCATTAAATAAATGAATAAGTGCTTTGCACAAGCACATATCAACTGGAAATTGAATTGTAACCTCTAACCTGCAAGGCGCGGGCTACTTCAAGTGAATCTTAACCCTGTTAAATAAATATATGTGTGCGCACATGGGCCAGCACACACACACACACACACACACTCCTAGTTAACAAGTGTTAAATGATAACTATTTTTTAATGGATTTATTATAACATGGCTGGTTATAAAATAACTGTTCTAAAATATTTTTTTCCAATTGATTTTCAATATAAAACTGGAATAAATTTCCCCTGGGAATGATTCTTCTTTGCAAGATAGACTAAGTAACTGCAGCCTGGGTTGTGTTCAGCATTATGTCCTATTGTGGAACCTCAAGTTTCTCTCCTTACACCCTTTCCTTTCTGGTATTCCCAGTACTTTTGCAAACAGACTGGACTAAACTCACAGCTATGTGGATTGAAGATCGGGGGACCTTTCACACATTTTCTTTAGTCCTTTTCATCATCTTGTGATAGGACAGATATTATTTTCATCTCCACATAACCCCTGAAGTTCATTTTGGTTAAGTTATTTACCCAAGTTCCCACCTACTAATAAACAAGGCAAGAATCTGAACTCAAATCCATTGGCCTCAAAGTCCAGTCTCTCATAAGACATGAAATTTAAGCTTGTCTCAGAAGAAGGGTCTGAAAAATCTCATAACTTAAAGCAAGGGTTGCCTTTATTCTCTCAGTTCAAAAATCTCTGTTAGAACATGTTAAGGGGCAATGTGGTACAACGTAAGTACCCTACTCAGTGGGAGAACCTCCATCCAGCCATGGAGAACCACAAACTGAGTTTGAAAAATTCACAGAATATTATACACATGAAACATCAACATAAGCCAGATTAATAAAAAACAATAAAGAGATGGCTGGGAAGTTTTACCTCAGGCCAGAAAATGGAAAATTTTATTATCTCCTGACCATTTCTGAAGCTTTCTCACAGACTAAGAAGAACAAGACTATCATAGCTTTTGAAGCCTCTTTGAAATTCCCCTAGCAGGAAACATCTCTGCTTAGAGTTTCTCTGCTTCCTTCATCACCTTCAGAAGCTCCAGAAGCTGGCAGGAGATGTTAAGCTTAATATTTGCAAGGAGTGGGGTTTATTTGCCCATTTCCTAGAATTTCATATGAGGAAAGGGTAATTAGGAACTTAAGCATATACCATGGGGCAAATTTTTTATCACTTTTTTCAGTATCAGGAAGCTTTCCCTCCCCTAACTTCCTGCTCTTCATTTCTTGCTGGAACATTTTTGTAGAAGTGTCCAGTTTAAAATGTCAAGCACGGGGTTCCAGTGTTGTGTGCATTCTATAAGATGGTTCTTAGTCCCTGTTCGCAAACCTAAAAAAGTCCTCTGCTGCCATCTCCAAACTCCCACTAAATGATCTTAAAGGATTATACATCTTGGGGCCTCTCTGGTGGCATAAGGGGTTAAAGTCTCAGCACTATCAAGCTATCACCACCCACTATTGCAGGAGTTCAATCCCTTCCAGGGAGCCGACCGACATGGGGTAGCAGACCTTTCCTATCTGACCCACTGATCCCCTCAGCAGTGTGTTTCAGTCTGTCTGCCTGTTCTGCTCCCCACTCTGGCTCTGGTGAATCCTTTCTCCCCCATCCTCCACTTCACATCTGGCATACAACCCAGCTCTTGTATGCATAAATAAATACAATTAATCTTTTTTAAAAAGGCCTATACATCTTGGGATTACTTTCCGTGGTGTCACATTTGAACCTGTAACATCTTCAATTTTAATGATTTTTTTGTCCTTTATAACAAAAAATAGTAGACCTTTGAACAATATGGCTTGAACTGCACAAGTCCGACTATAAATGGGTATATATGTTTTTTCCATCCCTCAGTTCTGCTTTCATGGATTCCACCAACCACAGATGTTGTATTGTTCTGTTGAATCCATTGTAAGAAAACCAGGTTACTGAGAGCTGAGCATTCACTATAAGTTACAGCAGAATATTTGGAAACTCCACTCCACAGAGGTTAGTGCCCCTAACCTCCCAGTAGGTAGTTCAAGGGTCAGATGCAATTTACAAATCCCTTTGATATCCATCTTCTCATATGAAGTTCACAACAAAGGTGTTAGTACTCTTATTTTCTGAATAAGAAACTCAAGATTCAGAGAAGCTGTTACTAGCCAAATTCCCTATACTATACACTGGTAAATGAAGATATCAAGACTGGGCGACAGTCTTTAACATTTCAAGCCTCTGTCCCTCCTCACATTTTGTTAATTATTTGAACATTAGTTCATTTGTCTGTCCACTTACTGTTTGATGCAATTAAAGATGCTGGTGGTTAGTGATGCCCTGAGCCCATGTCCATAAGACTAGTGGTGAGGCCTGCTTCTCAGTGAATGGCTGCCCGTCAGAGAGGCGACCTGTTAGCTGGAGGTGCTTCATCTCTTTGGTTTTTGTTTACTTGGGCAGTTAGGACAACTGGCTGACAACAATTGACAGTAGAAAAGTTGCTCAACAATTTAATTTTATTATTAAAAAATATTTGACTTGAGCTCATCAAACTAATTTAAACAGCTATCTACACATATATAAACCTAAGACAAAGTCTGCTATATGATATGTCTCCAATGTGAATGTTAGCTCGTAATAATCCAAGTGTCCTAGTTTAATATAGTGAGGAAGGAGTAACCTACATACATTTGAGAGGCAGAAGTCACAATAAGGTAATTTTGAAGACAGAAGCTAGCTCCCTAGAATATTCCTGAATAATTAGCTTTATTATAAGCTGATAAGACAAGGCATGATACTACTACCAGCTAATATGTACTAAGCATCCACTATATACCTGGAGAACTGTACTGGTGTTTGTATCCTTTATTTACTGAATTTCATCAAAGAATATTATAGGCAGTTAGTTTCATTGTTTTAGACAAGAAAAAAACTGAAACTCAGGATACTCAGTAACTGACCCGAGGTTGTACAGCTTAGAAGGATGAAGCAGAGATTTGAACTGGAGCTCTGATTGATTCCACAGTGCTTATCCTTTGCAAAGTTCTACATTGTCAGTTGAGGATTGGTCCAGTGAAGAAGCTGAATGTAGCTTTAGATTTGAAGAGGTAGGGTGGGTGTTAAATTTCTCTAACAACAGCAGTAACCACAGCGACTTACCTTTAACTCTGGCTTTCTTATGGCTCTATTTATGATAAACTCCTCATCGGCAATGAGAGGGTGGTCAGGAGTGAGAGCAAAGGCACCATTTAATGCTGACAGGCAGATCCATATTACCTTTTTCCAGGAGTAAATCTGGAATTCATCCTGAGGAAAGAGACATCAGAACCCCCATGAAGTTAAGAGCAATTATCAGGTTAAAATTCAATCTGAAAATCATCATTTCCATTTTATTCTGTATGTGTATGGAGTTAGTAAACATCCCTAACAGAATTATATGCCTCTGAAAGCTGATAAAGCCCCTTCAGGGAACAAAGATTGCCTTCCCTTACTGAGAATCTGATGTGGACATGAGCACAAGTAAGCATCAAGGCAGGTTCTCCCTGGTTCCCTCCAACCCAAGGAATTATGGACAGATACAAAAATCCACAGGGAAAAAAAAGCTTTCCCAAGAGTTTCTTAGGTCTCTGTGAATGAGACAGCCAGGTCACTTAAGCCATCCCTATATTTTGAGGCTTAACTTAAATTCTACTTCTGCCAGAATAGCCCCTGACCCCCCTTTTGCCACTTGGTGGAGAAAATTCTGTCACTATGTTAACTCCAAAGGTCTCTAACTGTCCCTTGCCTGTATTTGTAATCACCTTATGTTTTATATTCTCTTATTTCTTCTAGGCTCCCTTAGAGAAAAAGACCATGTTTTAGGTAAAGGTGAAAGGTAAAGATCAGAAACTGCAGACTGCTTGTTGACAGCAATGAATGGGTTGGGGGAAAAACTGGCTTTGTGAACTGACCATGACCCCTGGTAATTTTGAATACCTTAGTGCAGGTACTACCTTCTTTCTTGACCCTGATTAAAGCTGCTCCCCTGTGCGACTCACTGATGACTTCATCACAAAATAAAGCTGGAGGGTGTAGGACTGGATTGAGTAACAGACTGCACAATTGTCCTTTAAGACTGATGTGGTAATAGTAGTGGCTACTACCTGCTTGGGTGCCTGGTAAGCCTCGGAGCTAGGAAGGATGATAAGGAGAGATCAAGTCTGGGAAACTATTTAATGCTCATGGGATATAGGTCAGAGTTGGGAATTGTCTCCACCACATCCACTTTGCCAGGAAATGTCTGAGGTGATGTTGAAAATGGCAGCAATCAAAATATATAACAGTTGTTGTAACCATCACTTACATCATTCTCCTTAAGGGACTTCTACCTCCATGCCTTTACTCCTGCTCTTTCCTTAGCCTGGAATACAGAACCTTCTCTCTTTGTGTCTGTCCATGGCTACACTCTAAGCATCCCTCAGGGTCTAAGTCAGAGTTCACATATGGGAACCATCCTAATTTCTCTGGGTGATCTTTCTTCTAAGCAATTGGGGTACTTGAGAGTCTTACCACATTCTACCTCATTGCATTGTCTCTGCCTGTTCACCTTATCATTCCTCTTGAATTGTGGGTAGGGACTGTGTCTGATGCATGTCTCTTGCTCTTGCCAGGACTAACACAGTTTCTGAGAGAGACAGAAAGACACAGAGATGTATACAGACAGAGAGAAAGACAAAGACAAAGAGGGGAGAAGAAAGGGAGGAAAGCAAAACAAAGAAAGTGGGGCAGGGAGAGAAGAAAAGGAGAAAACAATAGAAATTTGAAAGTTAATGAATTGATTTTTAAAAACTAGCAAAATTGGGCCCTCCCTGGTGGCGCAGTGGGTTAAAGCACAGCACTGAGAATCTAAAGCCGCTTCCGCATGAGTTCGATTCCCGCCTGCCCCGGAGGTGACCACATGGCGTGGCAGACCTCTCCTGACCCGCCCGCTGCTCCCCTCAGCAGTGTACTTCGTCGATCTGCCTGTTCTGCTCCCCACTCTGTCTCTGGTGAATCCTCTCACCCTCCGCATCTCTGGCCTGTACCCCAGTTCTGTATGAATAAATAAATAAATCTTAAAAAAAAAAAACTAGCAAAATTGGCTATTACTTCCATTTAAAAAAAGACTAACTCAAACTAAATGAGATTTGTATAGAGTTACCTTCAGAGCCTAAGAGCACCGTGATGGCTAAATGTCCAATGACAGGGTCTCTGAACTGATGAAGGCACTCTACTGTGTGTGCAGTAGGCAACTAGCTCCCTAGAACACACCTTGGCATAGTGTGTGGCATTATATAACTTGGCATTGATTATAACAAAGAGGACTTTGTTTGAAAACTTTGAATTTCTAATAAGGACAGTAATAAAAATCATTAATGTTTATCTAGCACTTACTTTGATTTAAGCACATAATAATGCTTATACATTATTTTATTTCACAAACCCTATGAGGTGATTATTGTTCATTAGCTTTATTATTGTTTAGGTGAGGAAACTAAAACACAGCAACTTTTAGAGCAGGAATTTGACCCCCACTTGCCCCTCCAGAGTCCCCTCTAACCTTCCTCTCTGTTTTGTATTTAATACACTTCATTGAACTACCATTTTCATATCCAGCCTCATTGGCCACTTCTTTGTTTCAAAGAAAAGTTCAGTAAAAAAAATATAATTTCTAGATAAATATGAAAGCACTATCTAGACTAGAGGACTTTGGCCACCAAGTAAAGACATTTAGTATGATAGCTACTTTTAAGCCTCTTAAGTGAATTAAAATAATAGTAACTACTAATGTTCATTGATTACTTAGCAGTCTGTGAAAACCATTTCTCAGTTCATCTTATTTTAAGCTCATAATTTTTCAGTTAAAGTATTACTACCTCTCTTTTATAAATGAGAAAATTCTCCATCACCAAGATTATTAATTGTTCAAGGGGGTATGGAATGGATTTCAAGGCAGAACAGCGCTAAATCTTGACTCTTTCTTTTGTTTCAATGAGTTGTCCCATAGCCCCATGGTGTTTGTGGCTTGTGAATGAAAATCACCTTGAATTATGCACAGTTAAAAAAGCAGCATCTGGTCTCTCACAATCTATGCTCTTTCAGCAGCAAAAAATCTGATTCCCAAAATCAAACTGTCACCTTTAGGCCTTGGGTGACAAACAAACAGACCTTAAGACTGTAATGCCTACAAAAGGGAAAGGCAAAGTGGAATTTTGGATCTGAAGTTCTCAAAAACCAATTATAACCCAGTGTAGCAATGTCATGCCTTAGCCTAGGTGAATATGAGACACCAAAATTCATCTATACACCTCTATCACTTTATCATCTATAGCATTACATTGAAGATTCTTTAACATCTATAACATTGCATTGTTTTATCATCTATAACATTACATTATTCTTTATCATCTCTAACATTACATTGAAGATACCACAGTGTGGTAACAACTTTTCTTAGAGAAAGGTAGCAATACTATTTTCTTTTTCTTTTTTTTAAAAAGATTTATTTATGCATACAGACCTGGGGTACAGGCCAAGGTTGCGGGGGTTGGGGGGTGAGAGGCTTCACCAGAGACAGAGTGGGGAGCAGAACAGGCAGATCAATGGGGAGCAAAACAGGCTGCTGAGGGGAGCAGCGGGCAGGTCAGGAGAGGTCTGCCGCACCATGTGGGTCACCTCTGGGGCCAGGGATCAACTCGTGCTGAAGTGGCTGCAGCTGGCTTGCAGTGCTGCGTTCTAACCCAGTGCGCCACAAGGGAGGACCCACATACTATTTTCTATGTTAACAGACTCTAAAAATATCCTTATTATTGAGGGAATTCACCCAAAACTATTTTTTTCGCCCAAACTTTTTAAGGAGAAAATGGGCAAAGAAGTGGTAGGAAAGTAGTTGACGTAGGGAGCGCTTGCTCCCTATGACGGTACACATACCCCTCAGTTTTCAGCCTGGTGCTGTCCAACATGGGAAGTGCACTGGCTCTTTCTTAAGCTCAAATCTCATCTCCAGATCATCTTGAAAAATCATGCAGCCAACTTTCTAAGCCCCATTTTTCTTTATCTGGCAATCTGGGAATGATAATACCACATCTCATGGATGTTTAAGGATTAAATGTTACAAAGTGTGACCTAAGACTGGCCCCTGGCAGGGAGCAGCAAATGCTAGCTGGCATGTGCCCCCAGGCCTGGTTTCCACAGCAGGTTGTTCCTGAGAGCTTCCTGTGAATAGGAACTTATTTTCCCTTTTAGGGAACTTAAAAATCTCTGAGTCTCTCTTTATTTTTCTTTTCTGAAAAAAGCACCTTTACCTGGAAAAAGCTATTTCCACTTCAGTCTGTCTCCCAGCTTTCTCAAGCAGCTAATGATCTTTAAATACTTAAATACACCAGAGGAGCCAACCCTGGAAATAATTGCTTTGTAATGCAAATAATCCAAACTATTTGCCTGGAAAATCTGGACTTTTAGCATCTCAAGTCTCATTGAGCAGATTTTACCTCCTTGTTATCAAGAGAATTAACCAGACTAGTCCTTGAACTCTGAAAGAACTGCCTTTAAAATAATTCAAGTGTGATTTCCAAAGAACTGAATATATGCAGGAAATCGAGGTTTGACCTAGACAGAAAGAGGAAGAAACCTGAGCATTTTTTATTTCCTGGGTCTTGCCCTCTCTGAACCTGGAAATGCCAGGCTAACTTTTGTGTTCTGAATGAAACCAGTTACTTTGCTTATCTTTTCCTATCTTTTTTTTTTTTTAAAGATTTATTTATTTGTACATACAGAACTGGGGTACAGGCCAGAGGCTCAGGGGTGGTGAGAGGCTTCACCAGAGACAGAGTGGGGAGCAGAACAGGCAGATCGACGAAGTACACTGCTGAGGGGAGCAGCGGGTGGGTCAGGTGAGGTCTGCCACGCCATGTGGTCACCTCCGGGGCAGGTGGGAATCGAACTCATGCAGAAGTGGCTTTAGCTTCTCAGTGCAATGTTTTAACCCGCTGCACCACCAGGGAGGGCCATCTTTTCCTATCTTTACAAGCACCTCTTCTCATGGAATTTCTAAGCAGCGTAATGGTCACTTCAGCTCAGGACAAGTGATTTATCCTCTTGTGTAAGGGTTCACTCCATAAAAATGTGCTTCTGAGCTGCTTTTTAAGAAAAAGTCATCCAATGTAAAGTTCCAAAAGGATGTTAGGAAATCAGTATTCTTTACTTAGAGATAGATGCATGGAAATGCTAAGTTAAACTCCAGCTAAGGTGAAATACTCAGAGAATTATAGATGAAATGGTAATAGGTT